GTCAATTTATAAAAGTTCTCGATTCGTTCTTTTCGATGACGTCACATAAATTATTAGGAGACTTATAATCCTCGAGCAACAAGTTAGATGATAATGTCACAATTAAAGGTAAAAATCCGAAAACTCACATATGAATAGTTCCTGTTTTTTTTGTTAATGTTACCTCAATTTATACTATTTTACACGTCATTTCGTGATATCCAACAATTATTTTGCCTCCGTAAATACAAAATATATCTATAGTATTAAGGCATTCAACATTGGCAACAAATATAATAAGTCAAACAAATAAATTTTCTGACCTAAAGTAATATATGTGCCAGATATAAACCGCGTTCATGTAAATGATAAAGTAACTGCATGTAGATAAACGTACGTTCTGATTATGTTAGAATTACCTTACTATCTACACAAGATTAATTTTATAAATAGAACTTTACCATAGGGATCGTTTTACGGTATCGACTTAGTTGTCAAAGAGGTAGGTGGTATTTAATATTATAGATAGATAGATTTACGAGTATTTCGGCAAAGGAAGCATATACATAGTTGACAATATAACATAGGATAAAATTATGAGCATTATTAAATACTATATCACATACGAGTAAAACTATGACATGCTATAAAACAAAAAAGGGCAAAAAAGCTCTTATTTCCATTGTGGTTCTTTGTATTGGCGGCATGAAGTAGAGAGGCAAACCTAAATATAATCATGTTTAAAATACTAATAAATCATAAAAATGTATATCAGAGTCAAATCTTGAGTTAATGATACTCCTGTTTACAGCTAGGATTTAAACACATTACTCAAATTGTAATAACATAAATAGCAGACAATTTAAAATCCTGAGCCGAAATATGTAAAAACATGTTTAAAAAAATTAAATACTGTTCATAAGATGACTTTTGATGGCAACCTTAAAACTTTGTAACCTGTTAATCTCCGTTAACTCTACAGGAAAATCATTCCATAATTTAATACCATACAAAGCAAAGGATTTAGAACCATGGCCTTTGACCTTAGGTAGACAATATCCACCCTTTTGACTAAGTCTTGTACTATAATTATTTATGGAATCTTGTGAAATAAAGTGTTCAGACATGTAATCCGGAGATAGGCCATTTTTTATCTTAAAAACATGACACAACATTATCTGTTCAACTCTTTTGTGTAACCAGTTAAGGGACTTAAAGTTAGATGGGTCAATATGGGCTCTGGAGTCCAAGTCTCCAAGTACAAATCTCATTATTTTGTTTTGACAAGTTTGTAACTTATTTTTTAAAGATTGTGTCAAGCTATTATACCAAACAGAGCATGCATAATCATAGTGACACTTAATAAGAGACATAACCAGAAGTTTCTTGGTATGCTGAGTAAGAAACTCTTTCTTGCGGTAAAGAACAACCGAGAAATGGCCTTTTTAAGAACAGACTCGGCCATGGCGCAAAATAACAGATTTTGGTCTATAGTAATCCCAAGATACTTGATAGATGAAGTTGTTTCAATGGATGTACCAGAACAGGTTATATGCAGGTAAGATTGTGATCAAGCTTTTGCCTGGACCCAAATAAAATTTACCCAAGTGTAATGACAACTTATTGTCCACTAACCATTGGCTGACCAATTCCATATCATCTGTCAATGCCTTTACATAAACAGATAAACTTTTACCAGATCGAAGATACCAGAATCATCAGCATACAAAAGCAATTTATTTTTGACCACAGCTGTCATAATACATCTGCTGTCTATCTGATAAATATGATTTGAACCAATTTAGGACGTCAATACTAAGACCTGATGCTTGCATTTTCATTTAAAGAATGGAATGGTCGACTGTGTCAAATAATTTGCTATGAAATAGTAAAAAGCAGAATCCCTAAAGAAAACCCTATACGGCAAAATTGTAAAATGTTGCAGGCTCGGTTTGATTGAGCCTGTTCATGGACGGTACTGGAAAGACAACAATAAAGTCGGGCTGAACGATCTTCAAACAATTTCGTTTAGAAATTAAACTGCCGTTGATAGTATGTGATGAAACTAATATCATCGACCTCTTCGGCCATCATAAAAAACTGTTTTGCAAGATAAAAAGAACCATCTCGTAAAATGTCTTCATGAAAAAAATAAAACTATTTCTGCAGATATAATGTGTTTATTTTTTGTACCGTAGAAATAAAGTTAACTTTTACCAGGTGAAATATCAAATTTTAAATGTGTCCATGTCTCGTACGCGCTTGAGCATTAATTCATTATATGATATCATTTAACCATTGCGTGTTTCATTTTACAGAGCATGAAATTATTCTGAAAACCTACATGATAAAGTCAAGTTAAATTTGCAAAACGAAAAAGAACTTATATTAAAACCATCATGTTTTTAATCTTAGACAGTCGAATACACATGTATTTAATCAAAAACGGAGGATGAAATTCGCCGTCACACGACGCAGTATATTTCTATATCACACATTCATTAGGTCATTGGCCGAATGTTGCAGTTGATAAATCCACTTCTATCCAACAAGTGACACTCGGGTTCGAATATTTCTGTCCCCCGCCTTCTCGAAGAAAAAGGGGGATATAGAGATAGGCTCCGTCCGTCTGTCTGTCCGTCTGTCTGTCCATCCGTGCAAACATTTTGGGTTGAGGGGCTATGTAACAGTGAAGAGAACAAAAGAGAACAATATGTTAATTCTGAAATCAAAGGGTTTATGATCTTATAGCCCGTAATAAAAAACAAAGAAAATAACAAAGAAAATAGCCCATAAACCCAAAATGTCCATAAATTTGTCATTTATCAAAGGAATATGAAATAACTTTGCACAAATATTTGTTTTAATGAAACGATGTGTCATGCGCAACAACCAGATCCCTACTTTCGAGGTCAAGGTCGCACTTGCCTATTCAAGGTCAACATTTTCTATTTGAGGGTACATGTCGTGTCCAGGCCATAACTTTCTTATCTTTAAAAGGATTCTATAAATACTTGTCACAATTATCACAATAATGAGACGATGTGTCATGCGCAACAACCGGTCACATACCTTCAAAGTCAAGGTCACACTTGATGGTCAAAGATGAACATAGTCTGTTACAGGATATATTTTTTGTCCGTTCAATAACTTTTTCAAAGATCAAAGGATTTTGAAAATACTTGGCACAAATAGTCACTATTATAAGACAATTTGTCATGCGCAACACCTGCATACCTACCTCCAAGGTCAAAGTCACACTTAGAGGTCAAAAATGAACATAGTCTGTTAGAGTTTATATTGTGTGTCCGATCTAGAACTTCTTCATAGTTCAATTGATTTTGAAATAGCTTGGCACAAATAGTCACAATAATAAGATGATATGTCAAGTACAGCACTTGCACTATCTCCAAGGTCAATGTCACACTTAGAGATCAACAATTTACATTGTCTGCTATAGGGTATATTTTGTTTTGTGTCCAGTCCATAACTTTTTCATAGATCAAAGGATTTTGAAAATACTTTGCAAAAATAGTCACTATAATAAGACAATGTGTCATGCGCAACACCTGCATCCCTACCTCCAAAGGATACGCTTAGAGGACAAAACTTGGGTCCCTACCTCCAAGGTGACACTTAGAGGTTAGAGATTAACATAGTCTGTTATAGAGTATATTTTGTGTCCGATGTATAACTTCTTTATAGTTCAAGGGATTTTGAAAATACTTGGCACGAATACTTATAATAATAACGATATGTCATGCACAACACCTCCACACCTACCTCCAAGGTCAAGGTCACACGTAGACGTCAAAGCTTAACATGATAGATTTTTAAATTCTGTGTTTCATTTTATTTCTTTAATAAATTTATTGTTGCATTTGCAGATCTAGCATTGATCATAATTTTGGACTGAAAGTCTTGAGATCCATACCTCAATCTTTTGAAATAGCACAATTTTATGCTTCATTTAAAACTTCCCATGGCGGGGGACGTTTGTTACTCTGTTACAAATTCTGGTTTCGAACTACTTTAAAAGAAATCTGCTTTTTTGAACTTCTTTTAAAAAATTTGCTCTTTTTACAGAATGACTAGTCCAAGATTTTCGCAAATAATATGTTTTCACTTGCCATTTATTTTAATATTTTAAACACTTTTATCAAAGAAATATCTATATAAAAAACATTAGTTGGATATATTGTCTAATAACATCGTTGGGTATGAAATGTATGTGACATGCAGAACTAACACACACACATATACCACGTAAGCACCATAGTAACGGATCGTATTGTCATGTTTATCAAATTTGTTGATTGCGAATCGGTTACATTCCTGGAATTTATATAATGAATTGTGTCATTTTGGAAGTCTATATCTAAATCGCTTACAACTTGCATAATGACAAAGAGTACTTACCTTTACGGCAAAGCTAGATGTTAGAACTACCTATATTAGACTGTATGTATTGTATATTTTTTATAGTATATTGATGGAAATTTGCTCCCTCTTAAATCATAATATTTTATGGAAAAAATGTGTCACTTTACAGAATAAAGCAGACATAGTTGCAACAGATAATATCAAAACATTTTTAAGCGACATTTAGGTTAGTATTCCACCTATCACTGCTTAGTTCATTTTGTTATGACATTTAATGTTGTCTATACCATGCCTAGGTACACTGCAACATACAAAACAACTACAAAAACCAAATAATAATCATGATAATAACAATGAAGCAATGGTTTTTTTTTCAAATAATTGGCTTCTAGTATAAGGGAATACCGATGGTACATAAAATTTTGACTCCGTTGAAAAATGACCCGACCCCAGTGGTCAATTTTCAACGTTGAAATATGACTCATGGTCAATTTTAACATTGAGAATTGACCCTGCCAATATTGTTACATTAAATTTTGATACAAAAGTCGTTGAAATCTGATCAGTCATTAAATAACAATGAAATATCATAATATTTAATTTCAGTTTACAATCAATGCCATTACAGTTAAGAAACAAACTAATTTTTAATTATCACAATTTTGAAACAAATTATTTCTTCGTTTAATATATAATAATTTTAAGAAATTTTATAGCGTGCTTCTAAATAATATGCATAAATTTGTCATACAACATAACATATTCTTCTAACATCACATCGATGTCCGGTTGACAAGTTACCGTACCCTTATTTAGTAAAAATGGCTTAAGTCTATCCCGTCAAATTAGTGTATGAACTAATTGAGAAAATGTCACTCAAATGGTTTGGTCATATATCATGGAACAAGTTACATCTAAGAATGAATATTATGATATGTATAGTCTCTGTTAAAGTACTTCATCGACATATCTTCTTGATTCTACGCAAATTGGTAATATGCAAAAACAAAATTGTGCAAGTTAAGGACGTTCTTTTCGGTTGCGGATGAGCTTTTGCTCGGATTCGCTCTTGAATAGTACATTATTATGCTCTATGTGTAGGTAATTCAGTGTTTATTCAATTCATCGGTGAACGATTGTTTAAGTTTTTATCAGAACTATTTTCATATCATCAGATTGACTATCACTTTACCATTTGAAAGAACGGTAATCCACTTTGAATATGTGCCTTGTATTTCTTTCTTTTGTCCATTAAGATTAACCTGTTCCAAATATTTATCATGTCAATTCATCTTCGTTGCTTTGTTGTTATGCAACCAACCTCCCCTATAATTGGCAGAATAGAAGCAAATCTGTGGTCTCTCATGTAATGTCTTTTGAAAATGGCGCTGTATATTATCAAGTGATTAGACGTCATTAGAGCGTACAAAATAAAAGCAGTAATAATTTTGGTTTCAGACAAGAATTACAACTGTGTATGTACCGTGCTTTTATAAAGACCAAACTAAGGAAACTTTCTCCTATGATTGTTAATATTTAAAGCAACTTACTAGTTTGATTCATTCATGAACATGAATTAACATGAACAAAAAATAATATTTATACAAACTGTACAAAATGATACACTCAAACATAATTTTGTACTCCAAACACACAATTATGAATGTACAGTTACAATTAATAACAAAGAAACTCCGCCCTTAAATGTAATTTTCTACGAAAACGGATTGCACTTTGACATCTCTTAACATTTCAATTCCCACCTTCATCTTTTAACATGATATTGGCTTTTTCTGATCTTTTATGAACTCTCTTCATTAAATTGAAAGACACAATAGCAAAAACGAAGGTGGCAAACATTGAAAAACTCAAAAATATATTTGAATAAATAAACCACATTTGTGAAACTTTTTCCATCAGATATCCAACTAAAATAGGAACACCCATCTTCCCAAAGCTCATGAAGATAAAGAAAATGCTCGCCATTTTACCCGTCAAAGTGCAGACATTTTTAGACAACCATGAAAATACTAAGCTAAATAAAACAGACATTCCGAAACCAATAACTCCAATAGACACCCACTCCAAAATGATTTGATCAAATATCACAGCCAGCAAAAATAACACCGAACCTGAAGTATATATAACACTAAATATGAAAATCATTGAGGACATACTAAGGAACTTTATAACAACAATGCCAACTAATCGACCAACTGAAAAAGTAATCCAAAATACAGAAGATGCAACAGACCCCATTGCTTTACTCCATTTGCGCTCCGATACTAAAAATGTCATAAGAAAACCTATAAAACAATTCTCACTAACGATATAGAGCAACATAGCCGACGCTAACAGAATGGTAAATGTATATTTCATCCTTTTACTTAAGAAGTACCGATTTCGATGTGAACTTATTTCACAATCAGAAACATCATTAAGGGTGTTATATACACTGCCGTAAACGCAGTAAATCACAGCATAAAAACCGACAGACAGTAAACAAAGGAGTGACGTCGCACCGTATGGAATATAAATGAATGTTTCTGCGTATTCAGTTACAGAAGTGTTGCCATTTATTTGTTCACTTTGACTTTCAGTAACAGCTTTTACATTTCCTGTGGGTTTCAAATACGGTGTTGCCAAATAGGAAGTATTTGAAACAAGCGGTTCAAAATTAGCGGGAAAACTATTTAAATCGGCTAAAAAAGGCTCTGCAACCAAAGGGGATACAATCGCTCCAGCACTGAACGCAAATTGCACAGCTTGCATATACGGTCCAGCTTTCTGTTTCCACACAAGGGCCATGTCAGCAGTTGCCGCTGAAGATGAGAAACACAAAATGTACATGTCAAACATTACCCACCTTTTCATATTACATTCCCACTCTTAAAATGTTATGAATCACTATCTTAATTTTAAAAACAACTCTCATTGTTAAAAAAAACAGCTCTTTACTCAAACATTTAATAACATGTAATAAGCAATACCTATCTATATCAGTTACTAATTCATAATTCAACAAAACAGACATGTGCATTTTTGTGAAATAACATGCGCGAAGTCTTGTAAAAGATATACTATGCTCATCTTTGAGTAAAATATTTTTATATCATAGAAATGTATTGAAACCTGTGATATTCTTATTGAATAGGACTTATTTGAATAAAAAAACTTATTAACTTACAATTGTTATATTACATGCACGAAGTGTTTTTAAAGATATACTATGCTCATCCTTGAGTACAATATTTTTATCACAGAAATTTATTGAAACCTATGATATTCTTATTGAATAGGACTAATTTGAATAAAACAACTATTTAACTATGTATGAGAAGCTACGTTCCCTATTACCGGCCAAGCAAATTTGGTACTTTCTTTAAAAAAACTGCCAGTATTTTTATAACACTATATTCTGACTACCTATAGTGTGTAGAATTTTAAACATGACCTATCTACTTTGTGCGAAGTCTAAACCTGTTTATGTTAGGTATACAAGGAGACTGTGTAACAATTATTAATATTATCTAATATCAAATTTGAGCATAGTATATCTTTAAATAAGTATTCATTTAACGTTTAGATAAAAATAAAACCTGTTTAAACCTGTTTCGAGAGATGATGCGCAAACCCCGTAAAACCCATGAACGACCAACATTGCCGCCAGGTGGTAGCACCAAGGTGTAAGGGCAGCCGAAACACCCATAACTATAATAGTGGCGACGAAAACTCCGATTTTATTGAAACGATCATAAGCGAAACCGCCACAGATAGCACCAAGTAATCCACTGAAAACAAATATAAACTCATAATAAGAAAATATTTGATCATTTTGTAATACAGAAATATATACTCATTTTCAGCAAAAAAATTTCAAATTTAAAAACCAGAAATTGTCGTTATTTTAAACAAACATGAAAAAAAGGCGACACATTGTTTTCTTACATCATAGTAAAGTTATTAACCCATTAAAACAATAATGCGGTTAAATAAACAATATGAAAATATATTTTTAGATTGCTGCATAGTGGTTCGTTTGTAACTGACGTTACCCACTTATAATGGCTTTCTATAAAACTCATTGGGCGACTTTACGAATGTGCGATCTTTCGTGATGCATCAGTTAAGGTCATTGACCCGTTACGCTATTAGATATATATTTTCTCATGAAAACTTAAAAAAATCATGTATTGTTAAATAATATTAACAGAATGATTGACAAATTGTATCACTTTCTTAAGAAATATGATTTTAAGTTCTAAAAATAATAAATTCAATAAATATTTGAAAGTAATATACTAGTAAGGCGTCGCCTGAAAAACATTTTTTTTTTCAATTATCCATATTTCGTACTCATATATACTTTTGAATGTTCTTACTCTTTACCAAATAACACCAAACAACTTAATAAAAAATATCAAGTTAATATAAAAAACATCTCTACCATAATGAAGAACATCAAAATTACCCTAGTGACTTAGCTGTAAATATCCAGGATGCCGTGGCAAGATTCTCGTCTATTATGATTCTAAGATCAGGTAAAGTTGGACCAATCAAAGCGCTTCTCCATCCCTGCAGCACAACAGAAGGGTAAATTATTTTATTCCTCTGTAAGAGCTTTATGTTTTCAGGCGTATTTGTATTACAGTTTTATTTGTTTGGGTCGTCAGACCAAACAAATAATGGTAGCGAAATTTCAGACCCTGATATGCTTATTTGCAAAAATCAAAAAGAGTCCAAACTCTTCGATGCGGTATCTTCTTTTTATATGAACACTAACGCCGAAAAATTAAGGGAATATTACTGCGTATAGATTGTCAAATGACAGGCGCATTAATTTTTTAAGCCTTCCCGGGGAAGTAAAAATAGTTCCCGATTGGTCGAAGAAGTCTAATATTGTGTAATTCTTTACAGATAAACATGCTGTTATTAAGCTCCATGATTATTTAACATCAGTGTTAAACAACAATTGTACTGTGAACACAATATCTCGAAATATATAAGGGTAACAAACCCTTATTTAGAATAATTTGGTTTTCTTCAGGTTCTCCGTGGGCTAGAGGTTACACGCTCGTTTAGGAAGCGAGAGGTTTGGAGTTCAAATCCAAGTTAAGGTAACCCATGCTTTTTTGTGTGTTTTTTATTTTTATTTTTATGTTTTTTTTTAACTCTTTGAGCCAAATAAACATTGAAATGAATTTCAGTTTTGCCATTAGTATTATAGCCAGTTACTACAGTTATAACACTGGAAACATCAAACATCATTGGATGCACTTTACAAAATCAAATTGGTTTAACGTCTCACAAACTTCAATCTTTCTGACATTCTGAGACACAAACAAATTCAGCTCCTTTTGTGCTTTTTTTCTTTTATGTAGATGATTTACTTTAACAGTAACCATCCTTAAAATAAGCTCGCAAAAGACATGATAAAACTGATAATGTTTCTAGCTACATTGTCTGTACGTAATACGTATATGATTAAATTTTATGACAAATTAATTTAAACTTAGATCTAGATCTATAAAATGTCATTTTAATGTATGAAAGTGCAAGAAATAACAAAAACATTACCAGTGTAAAGATGCTGATACAGATACAAGCTGTATGTAGCATTTGATGCTTAAATGTCAAGTTCTTTTCATTTCTGTTTTGTAATTTGCCATGTCTCCCGTACTCTATAACTGTTTTGGTTGTCTCACTTGAGCTAAATTCATGCTTGTTGGCCGAATCATTTTGATCATGCATCGTCATTTCCTGTTGGTTCCTGTTGCGTTCTTTCAGTGACGTCTCCTGTTGCGTTCCTGTTGTCTTCTTTTTAGTGAAGTCTCCTGCTGCGCTCCTGTTGCGTTCTTTCAGTGACGTATCCGGTTGCAATCTTGTTGCGTTCTTATCAGTGACGTCTCCTGTTGCGTTCTTTACGATGATGTCATAATTAAAGGGATAAGAAATCCACGTGTACACAAATTGATTACGTCACAGTTAGGAATAGATAATCCGAAAATTCACATTTTATAGTTGCTAGTCTGATTTATTAGCTTTAACTCAAATACGTTATCGTTAAAAAATCATTTCACCATATTTAACAATTATTTTGCAGTTTCTAAACCAGCTTGTATATAATATGGTCATACATATAGAAAGAATGAAACACAAATTAGCGTAAAAAAATATGTGATTCAATATTGTTATCATAAGTATAACCAATATTTAGTGGATTGTTCGTTTACCACCAATTAACCTTGTGTCAAATATGTACAATGTATAAATCACATACATATAAGTGATAAAAGTTACTCCATGTATAAACTTATGTTCGGATTATGTTTACCTTATTATCAGCACAAGATTAATATAATAAATAGAAATGGACGTGAACAACCTAGTCATAATAAGATATATAAGTGACTTAGCATTGTATATTTTAAAGAAAGCATACTATTTTCTTTTTATACCAAAATAAATGTTTTATGACAAGGTATGACACTTTACAGATGGGGAAAGACATGTCGGCAATTGATAAAAAAGTTAGAAACCCATGTTTCAGAATTCTATTACGTGTAACATAGTCAACTTGAAAACCAAATATGTCTCTGAATGAATGAATGAATGAATGGATTAATTAATCATCTTATTAATCAATTATCTTATTATTTAGATTGATACTGGAATCATCAATTCTCTTAAAACTTTTGTGCCTGCATTGTAATGAATGAATAAATGAATGAATGAATGAATTAATTAATTAATTAATTAATTGATAAATTAATTAACCTTTTCCCTTATATAAGATTGTTTCGATTGTTTTTGCCCCCGCCCCCTTTTGAGGTCTCAAACAGTGAAAAAATGTCCTATTTAGGCCCCCAAAACTGTTTTTCGTTTGAGAAATGTTGTTAAAAAAGTGACAACTTTTTCGGCGCCGTCCAACATGCAAATATTACATCAGGGGGTTGCCAGAAGGGGGATGTGCCCCCTTCTGTTTGGGGGGTTTAAAGGGGAGTGGAGTCTCCCTCATCGCCAAGAATATTTTGGACATGTGACAGGCTAAAAATTACGCTGAAAAGCCTTTTACTCTACGTCAATTCATTGAGAAGTTGCAGCACTTTGAAATCAGTTTTGATGGAAAAAACATTGCAAAATAGTGAGTTTTGGCAACTTTTTAGAAGTCCCCCGTTGACATGGTAACAGGAAATTTACCATTGAGCATGCTGTTACAGAAGCTAGGGTGTAGTCAACGTTTGTGCCAAGTTTCAATAGTATTGAAGCATTTTCATAGTTTCATAGCAGTTTGAACATGTTACAGGAAGCTTTTCAATGAAAACGGCCATTTTTCGCAATATGCTCATGGGGTAAAAGGTTAATTAGTTTGAACTTGTTACAGGAGGCTTTTCAATGAAAACGGCCATTTTTCGCAATATGCTCATGGGGTAAAAGGTTAATTAGATATAAAAAATGTCATATTCGGTGTTAGGGCATGTGTTAACATGGAAAATCTAGTTTTTGTGTGATTCCAAGGTTTTTCAATATTTTCCCTTATATAAGCGTGTTTCGACGGCTTTTTGCCCCCCCCCCTTTTTGAGGTCTCAAACAGTGCCCTAGTTAATTTTTAAAACTACAAAATATACTTATGATTAATTCATCAACATCAATTAATGTTTATACATATTTTACAAAATGGCATATTCATATAGAATTTTGTAATCATAACACATGATAGTACTTTAAAGAACAAATAAACACCTTGCTTTAATGTACTTAACATCGAAACAGATTGAACTTTGTCAACTCTTTAAATTTTACTACTCACCTTAAATTCTCATCTTCAAGCTTTAACATAACATTGGCTTTTTCAGATCTTTTATGAACTCTCTTTATTAAATTGAAAGAAACTATATAGCAAAATGAAGGTTGGAAACATGGCAAAACTCAAACAAATATTTGAAAAAATGAACCACATTTGGGAAACTTTGTCCATTAGATATCCAATTAAAATAGGTACACCCATGTTCCCAACACACATAAAGATAAAGAAAATACTCGCCATTTTACTTGTCAATGTGCAGACATTTTGAGACAACCACAAAAATGGTAAACAAAATAGAACAGACATTTCAAAACCAATTACTCCAATGGACATCCACTCCGATATGATTTGATCAAATAGCACAGCAAGCAGAAATATTACAGCACCGGAAGCACATATGGCACTAAATATTAGAATCATGGAAGACAAACTAATACATTTTATAATAACAATACCAGATAATCTTTTAATCCCAAAAGAAATCCAAAAGACGGAAGACGCGACAGACCCCATTGCTTTACTCCATTTTTGCTCCGATACTAAAAATGACATAAGAAATCCTATGTAACTATTCTCACAAACGATATAGCGCAAAATAGCCGACGCTAACAGCATGGTAAATGTATATTTCATCCTCTTACTTAAGAAGTACCGATTTCGATGTGAACTTATTTCACAATCAGAAACGTCATGAAGAGTATCATATACACTGCCATAAAAACAGAAAATCACAACATTAAAACAGGCGAACAGAAAGCAAAGGAGTGACGTCATACTATATGGAATATAAATTAATGTTTCTCCGTAATCAGGTACAGAAGAGTTGACATTTATTTCTTCTTTTATTGCTAACTTTTCAGTCACAGTTTTAAATTTCCCTGTGGTTCCAAAATACGGCGGCGCAAACGATGATTCATTCGAATCAAGTTGTTCAAATTTGCTGGGAAAAGTAATTGTTTTGGCTAGAAAAGGTTCTGCGACCAAAGGGGATATTATCGCTCAAACATTAAAAGGAAATTGCATTGCTTGCAAATAAGGTCCGGCTTTCTTTTTCCACACAAGAGCCATATCAGCAGTCGCCGCTAAAATTGAGAAATACAAAATGCATATAGTAAACATTGTGTTTATTATTTTTGCTCATCAAGTTTCAACACTGGAAATCTGATGATTGAATACAAAATCGATTAACAGCGTCCATTGGTATAAATACAGCAATAATGTACTAACTACTCACAAAAAATTAATGACAAATAAATAGATTAATACTATCTGTGTTGAAAACAAATTCAACAAGACAAGAGACACATGCAAATGTTGCTAAATAGCCTGTGCCATTTCTTTATAGATCTATAAGTATTACATTGACTAATAAAATTTAAACCTGTTTCAAGAGAAGCTGCGCAAATCCCATGAACCCCATGAACGATCAATATTGCCGTCAGGTGGTAGCACCAAGGTGTGAGTGAAGCAGAAACTCCCATTGTTATAACAATTAGGACAAACACACCTATTTTATTGAAACGATCATAAGATAGCTCCAAGTAACCCACTGAAATTAAACAATAATTTTAACAAACTCAATTTCAGTTTGAAAAATCACGAAATTTAAAAGAAACAAACATATTTTTCCTATAAAATTGATACAAACTGAGAGCATTATATTCTTTTCTTTTTTTAGTGTTAGGTGAAAACTAATTATATTCTTTCTTGATTCCTGCATTTTCGTATTAGTCAAATGCCTTACTTTATGATGTCTTATGATGCAGTTTACTGGGATGCTTTTTAATGTACAAATCATCCTTGAAGCATCAATTGATAATTTAATTCTTAAAATATCGCTCGTTTTGCTGTTCATGAAACATGAAAACTTTGATAAATAACGACAACGGGTAGATAAAAATGATAAAAAACCAAAGGCTAAGCACCAAGTGTTTAAGTCTGAAAATATTCGGCACTGATTTTACTACCTTGGCATGAGAAATTTTAAATAAATTATTTTTTTGACACGAAACTCGATTTCCAGATTGTCATCATTAATTTTATGTTGACAAGTTTAGTTTGTTTGTTTGGGTTTTACGTCGCACCGACACAGTATAGGTCATTTGGCGACGTTCCAGTTTTACTGGTGGAGGAAGACCTCAGGTGCGACAAACTGATTATTATGTGGTATACACACTAAGCACCACACAAACCCCACAGTGTATGCTCCATTTTTCCACCATCATTACAACCTTCTGCATTTCACTTGAATCGTCTTATGATAGCGTTTGTCAAGTCACAGTGACCAATGTTACGAAGTCTGACCCTTCAATGACCAGACCATAAATTTGGAAAAATGGTGTATTTAGACAACACTATTCCATAAGCTTAAGATAAGATAAAACTCTCTCATGATTGTATCATGTTGATGAAAAATTGATAACAATCTGTTCATAGTTTCTTCATATGATTTGAACAATTCACCTAAATCATACAAAACAATACAAAAATCATACTTTGTCAATTATATGATATAGATGTCACTCTCGCCAAGTGAGGTAAATTTTGAATACATTGGGAACTATCTATTGTGAGAAACTTGCGAAAGAAATGGTGAATAGTATATTACAATTTTTCTCCCTTTTTTACCACGTCAGTTTACTTGTAAAATTCAAACAAAAATTTTGCAATGTAATAATAAAAGTCTTACCATCGCAAGGATACTGATGAATATGCAAAATGTATGTAAAATTCGATGCCTATTTGCCGAGTTGTCCGTTTTTTTGTTCTCTATTACTGTTTCGTTTGTCTCGCTTCAAGATAATTCTCGCTTGCTTGTCGAATCATTCTTTTCCCGCATCGTCAATTTATATTGGTTCTCGATTCGTTCTTTCGATGACGTCACATATAATTCTCCAGCAACAAGTTCGATGATTATGTCACAATAAGGGATACAAATCGGAAAGCTCACATATGAATAGTTCCTGTTTTATTTGCTAACGTTACCTCAATTCGATTTTACACGTCATTTCGTGATATTCAACAATTATTTTTCCTCCTTAACCACCTTGCGTAAATACAAAATATAACTACAATATACAGTCATTGAACATTGGTAACAAATATAATAAGTCGAACGAATAAATGTTCGGACCTTAAGTAAAATATGTGATAAATAATCCGCGTGTATGTAAATGATAAAGTTACCGCATGTTAGATAAACTTAAGTTCCAATAATGTAACAGGTACCTTACTATCTACGCACGATTAATTTTATGCACAGGGAACGTTCTACGTTATCGCCTTAGTGATTTAATAGTAAAATTTAAAAAATGCAAGTCAGAGAGGTAGTTGACATCTTACTTATATTATCAAATAATTTGCTATGACAACAATTTCATTTAGAATTTGAACTGCTGTTTATAGAATGTGATGGAACAAAAAAATCATCGACCTCTGCCATCATGAAAATATATGTTCTGTAATCAGAGCGCGCGGTACTTTATCGAATCTTAGATGTTGCCCTACTTTCTCATCCTATGGAATCGTATGGATTCGATAAGATAAAAATAACCATCACGTAAAACGTTCTTCATGAAAACAACTATTTCTGCAGATATAATGTGGGTTTTTTGTACCGTAGAAATAATTTCAACTCTTTTACCAGGTGACAAATGGAATTTTAAGTTTTTCCATGTCTCGTACGCGCTTGAGCATAAATTCATGATATGATATCATCTAAGCATTGCATTTAACACAGCATGAAATTGTTTTGAAAACCTACATGATAAAGTCAAGTTAGATTTGCAAACAAAAAAGAACATATATTAAAACAATCATGTTTTTAATATTAGACTGTCGAATACACATGAATGTAATGAAAACTGAGGATGAAATTCGCCATCACACGACACAGTATATTTCTTTATAGCACATTCATTAGGTCATGGGCCAAATGTCGCAGTGAATAAATCTTTTATCCAACCAGTGACACTCGGGTTCAAATGTTTAAAAAAATCAGCACTTTTGAACTTCTTGAAAAACATCTGCTAGTCCAAGGTTTTCGCAAATAATATGCTTTCACTTGCTATTTATTTTAAAACTGATTTAGTGTCAAACTTTTGTCAAAGAAACATCCATTTAAAATAAGAACAAAAACTTCATCGCTGAGAATGAAACGTAAGCACCATAGTAACGGACCATAATGCCATGTATTTCAAATTTTGTTTATAGCGAATCAGTCACATTCCTGGAAAATGTTGAATGTATTGTGACCTTTGGGAAGTCAATATCTAAATCGCTCAAAACTTGCAAAATAATATAGAGCTCTTACTTTTACTGCAAAGCTAGACGTTAGAGAGTTACTTACATAGGATTGTATGCATTGTATATATCAAAGTAATTGAAGAAAATGTGCTCCCTTTTAAATCATAAGTCTTTTATGATAACATGTTTCACTTTATAGAATAAACAAGACATAGTTGTAACAGAAAATATCAAAACAGCTTTTAGTGGCATAAAGGTTAGTATTCCCCTTATCACTGCGTAGTTCATTTTGTTTTTACCTTAAATGTGTTGTCTGTATCATGCATAGATAGACTGCAACATAAAAATACAACTACAAAAAACAAATAATAATAATAATACCAATAATGAAGCAATGGTTGTGTCAAAAAATTGGCTTCTAGTAGTAAGGAATACCAGTGGTACATTAAATTTTGACTCCATTGAAAAATGGCCCCAGTGGTATATTTTTAACATTGAGAATTGACCCTGTCTATATTTTAACATTTCATTTTGATACAAAAGTCTTTGAAATCTTATCAGTGATTAAATAACAATGAAATATTATAATATTTAATTTCAGTTTATCATGCCATTAATGTGTTGATACAGTTAAGAGACAAACTTATTTTTAATAATAGCAATATGAAACAAAATGTTTTCGTTTAATATACAACGAATCTAGGAAATTCTACAGTGTGCTTCTAAATCATATGCATAAATTTGTCATAGTCAAATCAGTGTATAAATTATTTGAGAAATCATGTCACTTAAACGATTTGGTCATATATCATGGTACAAGTTACATCTAAGAATGAAAATTATGATGAATGAATAGCCTCTGTTCTAGTAATTCATCGTAATATCTCCTTGATTCTACACAAATTAGATATACGCAGAAACGCAATTGTGCAAGTACAGGACGTTCGTTTCGGTTGCAGATGAGTTTAAGTAGGTATGGCTTTTGCTCGGTTTCGCTCTTGAATAGTATATTATTATGCTCTATGTCTATGAGTCACTTTCTCACTAAGTTCTAACTAATATTTACAATACACACTTCAGTGTTAGTCTTTATTCAATTGAACAATTGTTTAAGTTTTCTATCACAACTGTTTTGATATCATCACATTGACTTTCACTTGACCATTTGATAGAATTGTAATCCATTTTGAATACGTGCCTTGTATTTCTTTTCGTCCATTAAGATTAACCTGTTCGATATACTTATCATGTCAATCCATCTTCTTTGCTTTGTTGTTATGCAACCAATGTCACCTATAATTGGTAAAATAGAAGCAAATCTGTGATCTCTCATGTAATGTCTTTTGAAAATGGCGCTGTTTATTTTCAAGTGATTGGACGTAACTAGAGCAAGCTTATTTTGGGTACAAAATAAAAGCATTACTTATTTTGGGTTAAGACAAAAATTGCAACTGTGTATGTACCGTGCTTTGATAAAGACCAAACTATTGGAACTTTCTTGTTTAAAGCTACTTATTAGTTTGATTAATTCATGAAGCTGAATAAACATGAACAAAGATTAATATTTATACATACTGTACAAAATGTACATGTTCTTTTAATAACAAAGAAATTCTGCCTTTTAATGTAATTTACTACGAAAACGGATTGAACTTTGACATCTCTTAACATTTCAATTCCCACCTTCAATTTTAAACATGATATTGGCTTTTTCTGATCTTTTATTAACTCTTTTCATTAAATTGAAAGACACCATAGCAAAAACGAAGGTTGCAAACATAGAAAAACTCAAAAATATATTTGAATAAATGAACCACATTTGTGAAACTTTGTCCATCAGATATCCAACTAAAATAGGTACACCCATCTTCCCAACGCTCATAAAGATAAAGAAAATGCTCGCCATTTTACCCGTCAAATTGCAAACATTTTTAGACAACCATGAAAATACTAAGCTAAATAAAACAGACATTCCGAAACCAATAACTCCAATAGACAACCACTCCAAAATGATTTGATCAAATATCACAGCTAGGAAAAACAACACCGAACCTGAAGTATATATAAAACTAAATATGAAAATCATTGAGGACATACTAATGAACTTTATAACAACAATTCCAACTAATCGGCCAACTGAAAAAGTAATCCAAAATACAGAAGACGCAACAGATCCCATTGCCTTACTCCATTTTCGCTCAGATACTAAAAATGTCATAAGAAAACCTATAAAACTAGTCTCACTAACACTATAGAGCAACATAGCCGATGCTAATAGCATGGTAAATGTATATTTCATCCTCTTACTTAAGAAGTACCGATTTCGATTTGATCTTATTTCACAATCAGAAACATCATTAAGGGTGTTATATACACTGCCGTAAACGCAGTAAATCACAACATAAAAACCGACAGACAGTAAACAAAGGAGTGACGTCATACTATATGGAATATAAATTAATGTTTCGCCGTATTTAGTTACAGAAGCGTTGCCATTTATTTGTTCACTTTGACTTTCAGTAACAGCTTTTACATTTCCTGTGGGTTTCAAATACTTTGTTGCCAAAGTGGAAGTATTTGAAACAAGTGGTTCAAAATCAGAGTGAAAACTAATTAAATCGGCTAAAAAAGGCTCTGCAACCAAAGGGGATAAAATCGCTCCAGCACTGAACGCAAATTGCACAGCTTGCATATACGGTCCGGCTTTCTGTTTCCATACCATGGCCATGTCAGCTGTTGCCGCTGAAGATGAGAAACAAAAAATGTACATGTCAATTATTACCCACCTTTCCATGTTACATTACGACTCTTAAAATATTGTGAATCACTACCGTAATTTTCAAAACAACTCTCATTGGTAAAAAAACAGCTCTTTATTCAAACATTTAATAACATGTAAATAAACAAAACCAATCTGTATCAGTTACTAATTCATAATTGAACAAAAGAGACATGTGAATTTTTGTTAAATAACCTGTGCGAAGTCTTTTTTAAAGATATTCTATGCTCATCCTTGAGTACAATATTTTTATCACCGACATTTATTGAAACCTATGATATTCTTATTGAATATGACTAATTTGAATAAAAGAACTATTTAACTACATGTATGTATGAGAAGCTACGTTCCCTATTACGGGACAAGTAAATAAACAAACTGCCAGTTTTTTAATGACAATATATTCTGACTACCTATAGTGTGTAGAATTTTAAACATGACCTATTTACTTTGTATTTATGGTATTTACATGATGTAAACAAGGAGACTCTTAACATGATAACAGCCGTAACAGACGTGCTAGGGGGCGTGGACGGTAACTTGCACTTTCCAGTACCGTCCATTACCAGGCTCAATCAAACCGAGCCTGCAACATTTTCAATTTTTCCGTGTTGGGCTTTCTTTAGGGATTCTGTATTTATCTATCTTAACAATTATCAATATAACCTAATATGAAATTTGAGCATAGTATATCTTTAAATAAGTTTTCATTTAACGTTTAGATAAAAATAAAACCTGTTTCAAGAGAAGTTGCGCAAACCCCGTAAAACCCATGAACGACCAACATTGCCGCCAGGTGGTAGCACCAAGGTGTGAGGGCAGCCGAAACACCCATGACTATAATAGTGACGACGAAAACTCCGATTTTATTGAAACGATCATAAGCGAAACCGCCACAAATAGCTCCAAGTAATCCACTGAAAACAAATATATTCTCATGATAAGAGAATATTTGATCGATTTCGTAAAAGAGAAAATTATAAAATCATTTTCACCATGAAAAAAATACGAATTAAAAAAAATTGTCATTATTTTAACCAAACATGACAAATGTGCAGACATTGTTTTCTTACATCAAAGTCAGGTTATACCCAGCTAACCACAATGCGGTCTTATAAACAATATGAAAAATTATTTGTAGATTGCTGCATAGTGGTTTGTTTGTCACTGACTTTACCCACAAATGAAAGCTTACTATAGAACTCACTTGGCGACTTTACGAATGTGCGAATCTTTCGTGATGCATCAGTTAAGGTCGTTGACCCCGTTACGCTATTAGATATATGTTTTTCTCATGATGAATACATGATAAAAGTCATGTATTGTTAAATAATGTTAACAGAATGATAGACAAATTGTAACACTTCCTAAAGAAATATGATATATTATAATTGATAAAACTATTAAATTCATCAAATATTTGAAAGTAATTTACTTGTAAGGCGTCCCTTAGAAACATTTTTAATTATCCATTATTCTTACTCGTATATAATTTTGAATTGTGTTACTCGTTTACCAAAAAAAAACAACAAAAAACAAACAGCCTTATACAAAATATTAAGTTAATATAAAAACATCTCTATCATAGTGAAGAACATAATAATTACCCTAGTGACTTAGCTGATAATATCCCTGATGCCGTGGCAAGATTCTCGTCTATTATGATTCTAAGATCAGGTAAGGTTGGACCAATCAAAGCGTTTCTCCATCCCTGCAGCACAACAGAAGGGTAAATGATTTTATTCCTCTGTAAGAGCTCTATATTTCCGGCCTATTTATATTACATTTTAATTTATTTGGGTCGTCAGACAAAACAAATAATGGTAGCGAAATTTCAGACCCTGATATGCTAATTTGTAAAAAACGAAAGTAGACCGAGCTCCTCGAAGCGGTTACTTTCCTTTAAAAGTACAATAACGTCGAAAAAAATTAAGGGGAGATCACTGCGGAAAGATTGCCGAATGTCAGGCGCATTATTATTAAGCCTTCCCGGGTAAAAAAAATATTTCCCGATTGCTCGAAAATTTCTAATATTGTGTAATTCTTTACAGATGTACATGCTGATATTATGCTCTATGATTATTTACAACAGTGGTAAACAACAGTTGTACTGTGAACAAAATATCTCGAAATTAATAAGGGTTACAAACCCTAATTTAGAATAATGTGGATTTCTTTATGCTGTTTTCATATAACTTCCCCGTGGCCGATTGGTTACACGCTCGTGTAGGGAGCGAGACGTCTGGAGTTCAAATCCCAGTCAAGGCAACTCATGTTTTTTGTGTTTTTTTTAATTTGTTTTAATTGTTTAAGCCAAATAAACACTGAGTTGCAATTAGTCTTATAACCAATTACTACAGTTTTAAAACTGGAAACAGCATTGGTGGCATTATACAAAAACTAATTGGTTTATAGTCTCACAAACTTCAACCTTTCTGACATTCTGAGACCCGAAACAAATTCAGCGCCTTCTGTTCATTGTTTCTTTTATGTAGCTGATTTACTTTAACAGAGACCATGCTAAACTGATAATGTTTCTAGCTACATTGTATGTAATAAGTTTAAAGATTAAATTTGATGACAAATTAATTTAAACTTAGATCTATAAAATGTCATTTCAATGTATGAAAGTGCAAGAAATAACAAAAACATTACCAGTGTAAAGATGCTGATACAGATACAAACTGTGTGTAACATTTGATGCTTAAATGTCAAGTTCTCTTCATTTTTGTTTTGTACTTTCCCATTTCTCCGGTACTCTATAACTGTTTTGGTTGTCTCACTTGAGATAATTTCTTGCTTGCTTGTCGAATCATTTTGATCATGCATCATCATTTCCTGTTGGTTCCTGTTACGTTCTTGTAGCAGTTCTTTACGATGAGTTCACAATTAAAGGGATAAGTAATCCACGTGTACTCGAATCGATAACGTCACAATTAGGAATAGATAATCCGAAAATTCACATTTTTATAGTTGCTAGCCTGATTTGTTAACTTTAATAAATTTATCGTATAAATCATTTCGCAATATTTAACAATTATTTTGCAGTTTGTAAACCAGCTTGTATAAAATATGTTTATACATATAGAAAGAATTAAACACAAATTAGCGTAAACAAAATTCTGTGATTCAATCTTGATATCATTAGTCCAACCAAATATTTAGTAGAGTGTTCGTTTCCACCAATTAACCTTGAGTCAAATTTGTACACTGTATACATCACATACATGTAAATGAATAAAGTTACTCCATGTATAAACGTACCTTCGGATTAAGTTTACCTTATTATCAGCACAAGATTAATATTATAATTAGAAATGGACGTGAACGACCTAGTAGTAACAATAAGATATATAAGTTATTTACCATTGATTATTTGAAAAAAAAGCATACACTGTTTCTTTTTATACCAAAATAGATGTTTTATGACAACGTATGACACTTTACAGATGGGGTAAGACATGTCGGCATTTGATACAAAAGTTAGGAACCCATGTTTCAGAATTCTAACACGTGTAACATAGTCAACTTGAAAACCAAATATGTCTCTGAATGAATGAATGAATGAATGAACGAATCATCTTATTTATCAATCATCCTAAGATTTAGATTGATACTAAAATCAACAAACCTATTCTACTGTTAATACTTTTGTTCCTGCATTGTAAAGTGTATTTTTAAATGCAGCGTACATTCTATTTATATTGGAACAGAAGTTAGTCGATTTTGACATTTGAATTGTTTATCTAAAATAGTATAATTATATGTTAATAGAACTTGATTGATATTTTAATTTCATGCATCAATTGAGCGAGATCATAGCTATTTCGATATTTCCATTTAAAGCCTTGAAATGTTATAGCGGTTATGTCGTTCAATTATAACAATAAGTAATTAAAAGCTGTCCTTGACGTATCATAAAAATAAAATATATGGATACAATTACATATATTTTGACATTTAAGGTCTTATATATACTCATGGTCATAAAAGAATGAGCCTAAGAAGCAGACCATTTTATTATTTATTGTTTTATCATTCGTTAAAACAAAAAAGCTTTATACTTTGTTTAATTTGTTTGTAAGTATATCAAGCATGCAAGTCAGTCATATACATAAAGTCATATACATAAAGACACTCATGACACGTCGGAACATTAAATGAAATACAGTTACAAATGTTTTTGCGGGCCATATTAACTAGATAAACTACAAAAGTCTTTAAATTGAGTTAAAAGCTGGATAGACAGCTGTATTGACAGTAATTATAAAAGCTTTATCATGAATTGAGACATTTGTATTAGGTCAGTCAGGTATTTGTGTTGTTCATTTGTTTTAATCAACATAAAAAGTATAAAAATTCAAAACTGCAAAAGCTTCATGAAACTAAATCATTCGTTGTATAAAACAGACCATCTTCAAATATCAAAGACATTCTTCGTTAATCTTTTAACGGCAAAACGAAATGTTAGTTCACGTATAGGACATGTGGAAATTTATGACCAACATGACTCCTGTTATTTTCCTTTATAATAATTATAGTTTTAGAAAAAAGTAAAAGTATACAGCTATTCCATGTGATTTGGGAAAAGTCAAACTGTTGGCCCGAGGCGGAGGGGGTAGTGTTTTGAACTGTTGCCCAAGGCCGTAGATTTGTAAATATATTTTGTCGGAAAAAAAAATGACCACACAGCCATATAGCGTTGTAGCTATTTTTTATTGAGGTAATGCTCGTACGAAATATCACTTACCGCTTTGAGCAGACGCTCTGTTAAAATCGGAAATGGTTGTTAGTAGAAGTAACAGGTGCATTTATTTAAATTGATGCTTATCGTGCACATGGAGATTATTGTGGCTGAAGATGTATTGCAGCTGATGGCTGATGCTACATTTAGATTTACAAATTAACCAAGTATTGCTTATTTTGGTTTCAAATTATGTTGTTTTTAAATAAACGATTGCAGCTTGATATAAACAAAGAACAGCACCTGGTCATATTTTTTGGATGTGTGCATTTCTTCATTAACATTTAAACATATAACTAAATTTTTGCAAATTATCAAGTTAACAACTGCTAAAATAATCAACAAATCAAAGATTAACATTCGAGTGAGGATGGTCTTTAAAAACATTTTACTTAATTTAAGATCAATTTGGTTTATTACATACATTCATGAAAGTGTAAGATTCACTATCTATGAATCCGAAATTGGGTCTGGATATCTTTAGCTTACTTCCGTAGTAAGCATAATACATGAACTAACACAAGTAAACACCCACAAAAACAACATTAAAAGAATGGTTTGAAAATACGTTAACAGTACAGAAAAAAGAAAATGTTGTGAATGGTTTTATATTATCCCATTGAAAACATTTAAACATTAACCTTATTGAATCATAGAAGATTTATCTACAAACTTGTAATAAAAAAATACTATTCTTCAGGAATATCTTTCAAATATATTTAGCAGATATGAATGCAATGCCCATAGTTTACAACATAAATTAAAAGTTAGTTATTACTTCAATACGTTGAATTGTTATAAACATGTATGGCAGACATTTTATAAAAATAAATGTATCAGCCGGTTATTCCCTGCGGTCCGGAGACCGCAGGGTATTGGTACGCGTTTTACTTTTGAGGCATGGAGGAGAACGTGACCAGTTTTCGGTACATGGAGGAGCATGTGATCTGTAAACCGTATACGATTGGTTAATTGACCTTTTCGTTAACCTGGCTTAATACCGTTTGTCGTTACTTTACGGAATTAACTCTAAGGAATTATTCAGAATTAAACCTCTGAATTAAGAACAAAAACCTTTTACGTGATATTTCTAATTTTCTATAATTATTTCACCGTTTAAGATGGAAAAACTTGAATGATTTATTTGAAAATTATCATTGTTTCTTTAATATATGTATCTCAAATTTTAAAAACAATAAATTGTATATACTGAAAATATACAAAATTAAAATATTCGTAGTGGCATTTTCCATAATAAATAGAAATATTTTCTGCGTAAACTTGTGTGTTTACTTTATTTATTTTTTTTTTTTTTTTGCTTTTAATTATTCATAATATGGTAGGCATATTTAATCACTTTCTTAAAAAGAAATACTTGTTTTATGTTCGACCTTCTCCGGTCATCAACGGTCACCAGTTTTGAAAGACCTTCTTCTATATTGATCGATTATTGTCAACTATATTCCTGATATAAACGTTTATTTATTCTCCTCTGCCAAAACGGTGTTGAAAATAGTTAAATGAAATATCTTTATATCATGAAAAATGTTTCCCGCAGGAAACCATTTTACTTGTAGAACATTCTTATATGCGTTGTCCCAAAATTTTGAGAGAAAAAAAAGCCACCACATTTAAACACGTCAGAAAAGGCGCAATTCTATGATCTCTCACGTAATGTCTATTGGAATGGCGTTGTAGATAATTAAGTGATTGGAATGTTACCAGAGAAAGCTACTATTTCAGGTACAAAATAAAGCGTAACTTATTTTGGTTTCAAACAAGATTGCAACTGTGCATGTATCTTGTTTTTATAAAGACAAAACTAAAGGAATTTACTTTAGGAGTGTTAATGTTTAAAACTACAAAATTTAACTTCTACTTTGATAAATTCATCAACATATTTTACAAAATGGCATATTCATATAGAATTTTGTAATCATAACACATGATAGTACTTTAAACAACAAATAAACACCTTCCTTTAATGTACTTAATATCGAAACAGACTGAACTTTGTCAACTCTTAAAATTTTACTTCTCACCTTCAATTCTCACCTTCAAGTGTTAACATAACATTGGCTTTTTCTGATCTTTTATGAACTCTCTTCATTAAATTGAAAGAAACCATTGCAAAAATGAAGGTTGCAAACATACCAAAACTCAAAAAAATATTTGAATAAATGAACCACATTTGTGAAACTTTGTCCATCAGATATCCAATTAAAATAGGTACACCCATGTTCCCAACACACATAAAGATAAAGAAAATACTCGCCATTTTACCTGTCAATGTGCGGACATTTTTAGACAACCACGAAAATGGTAAACCAAATAGAACAGACATTCCAAAACCAATGACTCCAATGGACATCCACTCCAATATGATTTGATCAAAAATCACAGCGAGCAGAAATATTACAGCACCGGAAGCACATGTGGAACTAAATATGAGAATCATGGAAGACATACTGATAAATTTTATAATAACAATACCAGATAATCTTCCAATCCCAAAAGTAATCCAAAAGACGGAAGACGCGACAGACCCCATTGCTTTACTCCATTTTCGCTCCGATACTAAAAATGACATAAGAAAACCAATGAAACTATTCTCACAAACGATATAGAGCAACATAGCCGAAGCTAACAGCATGGTAAATGTATATTTCATCCTCTTACTTAAGAAGTACCGATTTCCATGTGAACTTATTTCACAATCAGAAACATCATTTAGAGTATCATATACACTGCCGTAAAAACATAAAATCACAATATAAAAACAGGCAGACAGTAAACAAAGGAGTGACGTCACACTGTATGGAATATAGATAAGAGTTTCTCCGTAATCAGTTACAAAAGTGTTGACATTGTTTTCTTCTTTTATTGCTAACTTTTCAGTCATAGTTTTAAATGTCTCTGTCGTTCCCAAATACGGCGGCTCAAACGATGATACATTTGAATCAAATGGTTCAAATTTGCCGGGAAAAGTAATTGTTTTGGCTAGAAAAGGTTCTGCGACCAAAGGGGATATAATCGCTCCAACACGTAAAGCAAATTGCATTGCTTGCAATAAAGGTCCAGCTTTCTGTTTCCACACAAGAGCCATGTCAGCAGTCGCCGCTAAAATTGAGAAATATAAAATGTTAATGCCAAACATTTTGATATATTAAATTGTTTATATTTTTTTTGCCTTAAATTTCAACACTAAAAATCTGATAAAATACACATTCGATTATCATAACAGCGTCCATTGTTATAAATACAGCACTACTCACACAAATTTAATTACATATGAATAGATTAATACCTATCTGTATCAAAAATCAATTCAACAGACAAGAGACACATGTAAATGTTAATAAAAAGCATGTGCGATTTCTTTATAAATAAGTATTACATTGACTAATAAATTTTAAACCTGTTTCAAGAGAAGCTGCGCAAATCCCGTGAAACCCATGAACGACCAACATTGCTGACAGGTGGTAGCACCAAGGTGTGAGTGCAGCAGAAAATCCCATTATTATAACAATAACGACAAACACTCCTATTTTATTGAAACGATCATAAGCGAAACCACCACAGATAGCTCCAAGTAACCCACTGAAATTAAACAATAATTTTAACAAACTCATTTTCAGTTTGAAAAATTACGAATTTAAAAGAAACAAACAATATTTGTTTTTTTCCTAATAAAATTGATACAAACTTGAAAATGCTTTGGGAGCGTTATATTCCTTTTTTTTAGTTTTAGGTGAAAATAATTCTTTTTTGATTCCTGCAGTGGTTCATCTGTGTCTGTTGCAGGTGTGAGTTACGTGACTAACTTGACCCATGGTCGTATTTGTCAAATGCCCCACTTTATGATGTCTTCCGATGCAATTTACTGGATTGCTTTTTAATGTACAAATCATCCATGAAGCATCAATTGATATCCTTGGTTTTTAAAATATGTCTCGTTGTGCTGTTAAATTCATGCTTTTCTCATGAATCATGAAAACTTTGATAAATGACGAAAACGGGTAGATAAAAATGTAACCAAAGGCTCTCTTTTCGAAATGGATAATTTTGATACTTCTCAATTTTTGCTAAGCACCAAGTGTTTAAGTATGAAAATTTTCGGCACTGATTTGATTACCAAAAGTGATTTTAAATAACAATTTCATGTTTTATCAAATTAACTGAAAAACTATTTAACTTACTATTTTACTGACTTTTCTAGAGAAGAGAAAGTCCACCTTTTTGAACACGAAACTTAATTTTCAGATTTTAAGTTTAGAAGTTTAGACTAAATAGCGAGTATATGGCACATTGCTAAAGACAACTGCTTGTCAACGCCTTCTCACAGTCCTTGCGAGGATAGCGCTCAATTGAATCAACATGACCTTAATCCTTTGGATGCTTCTATGATGCACTGCTAAGCAGATATCCGTACCTACAGCTCATTCCACATGCTTAATTGGAATTAGGATTTAGGTAGGTTGATCGAGCAGACCAGTGAAGGCGGTACGTACCCTCCCTATGCAAATAATCCTTGTCAGGCCCTGTGGGGACACGCATTATCGTCTATTAAAATGAACGTACCTCTATTTAGCACAGGGAGACCAAGATGATTCCTCCTCACACGATAACTTATCTAACCCCGTAGCGGTTGTGCTCAGGAATGTTTTCGGTTTTAAACCTTTCGAAAGGTTGTCACCAAACGTCTGTCAATAAAGTATAGGCTCATCAGTGAAAAGAACATGCCTTCTGTTTTGTCTGGTTTACCTAACATGCTCACTCGCTCATTCTAAACAGGCCTCTGGGTGAATTCTTAAACAGGGTCTTCCTGATTGCAGATTACCCTCGTGTAACCTCCTACACACTGTCTAAGTACAAACATTGACCCAAGAAGCATTAAGAAGGTCACTTTGAAGATGTGTTGTGTATGCAAACCGTCCTCGACGAGTCTAGATGATCAAGAATCGATTTCGATCTGCTTTCGTCACCCTTTAGTTTCCTCTGTCATAGATTCTGACGGTTGTACCATACTACCGGAACCATGCCCCGGCGGGCCTGGGGATACGAGTATATGTGTGATGTGCAGCAAGCGACACACCAATCTCACGGTGTTTACGCCTCGCCACACCACACCTAAAGTCTTCAACATCTTTGCTTATTCAAATACTATCTAATCATATGATTGCCATGTCAATGTGACCAATGTAAAAAGCATGACATTTGAATGACAATAGATTTGTAGTATCAATGTGCATATGTATAAGGACACTGATGTGTCTCTTCTCAACCTAGAATTACATAGAAAAACAAGAGGTACTTGGTTTCCGTGACCACGTGAAAAAAAACTTTTTGCATTTAGACTTGCACCATTTAACTACGCAAAGTAAAGAACTCAATCTATTTTATAGTACTCTTCATAATATAGTTAGAAACATTTTGGTCATTAGCAAAAATTGCGTAGAATATCACAAATACCATTTTTGCATAATAAATGCAAGGCGTCATGTACAAATGAAAAATATTTACAACTTTTGAACTGTATCTTTCTCAAATATTGCTTACACATCTAGAGCTGTTTATTCAACATATATTTCACGAAATAACACCACACAAAATATCAAGAAAGCATGAAAAAAATCCCTACTATAAAGAAACACATGAACTTACCCTAGTGACTTAGCTGTAAATATCCAAGAAGCCGTAGCAAGATTCTCGTCTATTATGATTCTAATATCAGGTAAAGTTGGACCAATCAAAGCGTTTCTCCATCCCTGTAACGGAAATTAAAATGATTTTGTTTATTGTGTTGGCATGCGAAAAGTTCCCGCACAAAAACACAGTTATTATTTAGCTCACTCACCGTAAAAATTGTTTTACCAAAATATTCGGCTTGTCAAACACGATCTTGGAAATCCCAATCTTAATAGAATACCTTTCATAATGGGCATTAGCATGGGTGACCAAAATGTCTCACTTTTTCCGAAGGAAAGCAGTTTGTGTACACAAAATATAACTCAACATTATTATACCATGTCATTATATCAGTTCTCTATCCACTTGCATCTCCCTTTTTCTGTCCCCGCAATGTCTCCTGACAGGTGCGCCAAACAGATTATCATGTGGTATACACTAAGCACCACACTAACCTCACAGTGTATGCTCCATTTCTCCACCATCCCTACAACCTTCTGCATCTATGTTTCACTTACATCGTCTTATTATAGCGTTTATCATGTCAAAGTGACCAATGTAACGACGTCTGACCCTTGAATGACCATAAATTTGGAAAAATGGTATATTTCGAAAACTATTTGTCCGTGCTCCCACTTAGAAAAAACAACAACAACAAAAAAACGAGGAATGATGCATTTAGTGACCTCGTGACGAGACCTATCTTGAGCAAAATAATTATTTAATTCCTTTCAATTACTTTTAATAATATAAATGTTTGTCACATAGCAAGTAAAACTTCCCCTTGTCGCCATTTTGAGGGTCCTTTCCAATATTGCATAAGCTTAAGATAAGATAAAACTCTCTCAATCTTTTCATAGTTTCTTCATATGATTTTAACAATTCACCTAAATCATACAAAACAATACAAAAAAATTCATACTTTGTAAATTATATGATATAGATGTCACTTTTGCCAAGGGAGGTAAATTTTGAATAAATTGGGAACTATCTATTGTGAGAAACTTGCGTATGAAATGGTAAATAGTATATTACACTTTTTCTCTCTTTTTTACCACGTCAGTTGACTTGTTAAAATTCAAACAAATATTTGGCAATGTAATAACAAAAGTCTTACCATCGCAAAGATACTGATGAATATGCAAAATGTATGTAAAATTCGATGCCTATTTGCCGCGTTGTCCGTCTTTTTGTTCTCTATTACTGTTTCGTTTGTCTCGCTTGAGTAAAATTCTTGCTTGCTTGTCGAATCATTTTGTTCCCGCATCGTCAATTTATATTGGTTCCCGATTCGTTTTTTTCGATGACGTCACTTATAAGGGGACTTATAATCCTCGAGCAACAAGTTCGATGATCATGTCACAATTAAGGGTAAAAATCCGAAAGTTCACATATGAATAGTTACTGTTTTCTCTCAATTTATTCTATTTTACACATCATTTCGTGATATCCAACAATTATGTTGTCTCCGTAAATACAAAATATAACTTCAATATTCAGTCATTCAACATTGGCAACAAATGTAATAAGTCGAACGAATAAATGTTCTGACCTAAAGTAAAATATGTGCCAGATATAAACCGCGTGCATGTAAATGATAAAGTTACTGCATGTAGATCAACTTACGTTCTGATAATGTTAGCAGTACCTTACTATCTACACAAGATTAGTTTTATAAATAGAACTTTACCATAGAGATCATATTACGGTATCGACTTAGTGCTCAAAGAGGTAGGTGATATTTTATATTGTCAAATAATTTGCTATGACAACATTTTCGTTTTTCGTTTAGAAATTAAACTGCCGTTGATAGTATGTGATGGAACTTAAATCATCGACCTCATCGGCCATCATAAAAAATCTGTTTTGTAAGCAGAGTACGCGATACTTTAACGGATCTTAGATGTTGCCCTATTTTCTCATTAAATGAAATCGTATGGATTCGATTAGATAAAAAGAAGCATCGCGTCAAATGTCTTCATGAAAAAATTTAACTATTTGTGTGTTTATTTTTGTACCGTAGAAATAAATTAAACTTTTACCAGATGAAAGGTCAATTTTTAAGTTTTTCCATGTCTCGTACGCGCTTGAGCATTAATTTATATATAATATCATCTAAGCATTGCGCGTTTCATTTAACACAGCATGAAATTATTTTGACCACCATGCTAAAGTCAAGTTAGATTTGCAAAACGAAAAAGAACATATATTAAAACCATCATGTTTTTAATCTTAGACAGTCGAATACACATGTATATAATCAAAACGGAGGATGAAATTCGCCGTCACACGACGCAGTATATTTCTATATCACACATTCATTCGGTCATGGGCCGAATGTCGCAGTGGATAAATCCACTTCTATCCAACAAGTGACACTCGGGTTCGAATGTTTCTGTCCCCCGCCTTTTCGAAGAAAAAAGGGGGATATAGAAATAGGCTGTCTGTCCATAAATAATCACAATAATAAGACGATATGTCAGGCGCAAAACATGGGTCCCTACCTCCAAGGTCACACTTAGAGGTAAAAGATTAACATAGTCTGTTATAGGTATATTTTGTGTCCGATCTATAACTTCTTCAAAGTTCAAGGAATTTTGAAAGTACTTGTCACAAATAGTTACAATAATAAGACGATATGTGATGCACTACACCTGCACGCCTACCTCCAATGTCAAGATCACACGTGGAGGTCAAAGCTTAACATGATAGATTTTTAAATTCCATGTTTCATTTTATTTCTTTAATAAATTTATTGTTGCATTTGCAGATCTAGCATTGATCATAATTTTGGACTGAAACTCTCTTGAGATCCATACCTCAATCTTTTGAAATAGGACAATTTTATGCTTCATATAAAACTTCCCGAGGCGGGGGGCGTTGGTAACTCTGTTACAAATTCTTGTTTCGAACTACTTTAAAAAAAAAAAAGTCTGCTTTTTGAACTTCCTTAAAAAAATCTGGTATTTTTTATAGAAGGCCTGGTCCAAGGTTTTCGCAAATAATATGTTTTCAATTGCCATTTTATTCTAATACTGACTAAGTGTCAACACTTTTATCAATTTGAAAGAAATACCTACATTTGTATTTAAAAAACAATTGTCGGATTCATTGTCTAATAACTTCATCGTTGGGTAATTAAGATAATTACTTATCATGTCAATCCATCTTTTTTGCTTTGTTGTTATGCAACCAATGTCCCCTATAATTCGCAGAATAGAAGCAAATCTGTGATCTGGCATGTAATGTCTTTTGAAAATGGCGCTGTTTATTATCAAGTGATTGGACGTAACTAGAGCAAGCTTATTTTGGGTACAAAATAAAAGCATTACTTTTTTTGGTTTCAGACAAGAATTGCAACTGTGTATGTACCGTGCTTTTATAAAGACCAAACTATGGGAACTTTCTTGTTTAAAGCTACTTATTAGTTTGATTAATTCATGAAAATGAATTAACATGAACAAAAATTATGTTTATACATACTGTACAAAATGATACACTCAAACAGACTTTTGTACTTCAAACACACAATTATGAATGTACATGTACTTTAAATAACATTTAAATTCTGCCCTTTAATTTAATTTACTACGAAAACGGATTAAACTTTGACATTTCTTAACATTTTAATTCCCACCTTCAACTTTTAACATGATATTGGCTTTTTCTGATCTATTATGAACTCTCTTCATAAAATTGAAAGACACAATAGCAATAACGAAGGTTGCAAACATAGAAAAACTCAAAAATATATTTGAATAAATGAACCACATTTGTGAAACTTTGTCAATCAGATATCTAACTAAAATAGGTACACCCATAGTCCCAACACAATGAAAAATAAAGAAAATACTTGCCATTTTACCTGTCAGTGTGCAGACATTTTTAGACAACCACAAAAATGGTAAACCAAATAGAACAGACATTCCAAAACCAATGACTCCAATGGACATCCACTCCAATATGACTTGATCAAAAATCACAGCGAGCAGAAATATCACCGCACCAGAAAGACATGTGGAACTAAATATGAGAATCATGGAAGACATACTGATAAATTTTATAATAACAATACCAGATAATCTTCCAATCCCAAAAGTAATCCAAAAGACGGAAGACGCAACAGATCCCATTGCCTTACTCCATTTTCGCTCCGATACTAAAAATGACATGAGAAATCCTGTGAAACTATTTTGACTAACGACATAGAGCAACAAAGCCGACGCTAACAACATGGTAAATGTATATTTCATCCTCTTACTTATGAAGTACCGATTTCGATGAGAAGTAATTTCACATGCCGACACATCATTGAGATTTTCATAAACACTGCCGTAAAAAGAAAAAGTCGCAACAAAAAAACTCGCCGACAACAAACAAAGGAGTGCCGTCACACTGTATGGAATATAAATCAGAGATTCTCCGATATCAGTTACAGAAATGTTGCCAGTTATTTCTTCTTGTACTGCTAACTTGTCAGTAAATTTCACTGTGTGTTTCAAATACTGCGGCACAAGCGTTGAAATATTTGAAACAATCGGTTCAAAATTGGCTGGAAATGTAATTGTTTTGGCTAGAAAAGGTTCTGCAACCAAAGGGGATATAATCGCTCCAACACTAAAAGCAAATTGCATAGCTTGCAAATAAGGTCCAGCTTTCTGTTTCCACACAAGAGCAATGTCAGCAATCGCCGCTAAAATTGAGACATATAAAATGTAAATGCAAAACATTTTGGTATATAAGTTTTGCTAATTTTGTTTCAATACTGAAAATCTAATATAATACAAATTCGATTATCATTACACCTTCATTGGTATGAAAACAGCATTACTTTACGCACTACTCACAAGTGCTCACTTACATAAAAAAGATTGATACCTATCTATATTAATTACCAATTTAACAGACAAGAAAGACAGGTAAATGACATGTGCGATTTCTTTATAAATAAGTATAAAATTGACATTTAGAAAAAAAATAACCTGTTTCAAAAGAAGCTGCGCAAACTCCATGAAAACCATGAACGACCAACATTGCTGCCAGGTGGTAGCAAAAGGTGTGAGGGCAGAAGAAATTCCCATTATTATAACAATAACGACAAACACACCTATCTTATTGAAACGATCATAAGCAAAACCGCCGCAGATAGCTCCAAGTAACCCACTGAAAACAAACAAACACTTTAACAAACCCATTTTCAGTATTAAAAATTACAAAATTTGAGTGTTTTGTTTTTAAAAAAAAGATATAAGCTTGATAATGTTCTAGAAGCATTATGTTCCTACATCATTGACATCATTGTAAGGTCAAAAATAACGTGAACATTTTTGAGTCCCTTGATCCATTTTATCATTAGTCAAATTTCCCACTGTATGAAACCTTACTGTGTAATTTATTGGGTGGCTTTTTAATGTACAAAACATCAGTTTATATCGTTGATCTTTAAAAATTACTCGTTTTGCTGTTAGATTAATTCTTTACTCATGAAAATGTAGAAATTGTTCGGTATTGGTAAATAACGTTAACAGGTAGGAAAAAATGTAGCCGAAGCTTTTCGAAAGAAATAAGATGCTACTCAGGTTTTGCTTAGCACCAAATGTTTACGTGTGAAAATATTTGACAATGATTTAAGTTCTGTGGCACGAGTGATTTTTAATGTTATTAGACTGAATAAAGGACAATTTATTTTGTCGTTTTTCTCTCGCCTTGTTTGACAAGAAAAAGACCACCTATATCTAGGATTTCGAACGCGAAACTTAATTTTCAAATTGTAAAAGGTCTGACATTTGAATGACAATAAATTTAAAATATCGGTGTAATAGACAATAATTTGTTCTGTATCCAACTAAAAATCAAACAGGAAAACGAGGGATGCTTGCTTTCCATGACCAAGTGGCGAGACCTACTTCAGAAAACTACTTGCGTTTAGGTTTGTGCCATTTCAAAACTTGTTGAATAATATTTCTTTGTCATCTTGAGCTGTTCTGTTTATTCAAGTAATAATCTACGAAATAATACCAGGCAACCTCATAAAAATATCATGGTAGAATCTCGACTATAATGAAACACGTGAACTTACCCTAGTGATTTAGCTGTAAATATCCAAGATGCCGTGGCAAGATTCTCGTCTATTATGATTCTAATATCAGGTAAAGTTGGACCAATCAAAGCGTTTCTCCACCCCTATTATAGAAGTTATAATGATTATGTTTACTGTATTGGCATGCGATAAGTTCCTGAACAAAAGAAAATTACAGTTATTTCAAAATATTTTTATTTAGCTCACTCACCGTAATAATGGTTGTTTTACCAAAGTATTCGGCTTGTCATGGAAAATTTCTTGGAAAACTTAATATCTTATTAATAGAATACGTTTTGTAATGGCCATTAGTATGGGTTACCAAAATACTCATTTTTGTCCGTGCTGTAGGGAAGCAGTTTGTGTTCACAAAATATCACTCGGCATTATTATATCATGTCATTACATGTATATCAATTTTCTGCTCACATAGAATCGTTGAAAAGACCATATTTCAGGAGAGTATAATACGTCATTCAGGTGCAAACAGGTGATATTTGCAGTACATTGTATCATTTTTGTGTAGCAGGAGAGGGCTACTTCCGAGGCGACAGGTTGCAAAATTATGACAACCTGGCTTCGCAAGTTCCTCTCCCTTTTACTTGCTACTGATTATAAAGCCCGAAGCTTGGACTTACTTTGTCCCTTTACCCCGAATATTTGCTGCAAGAAATGACAAAAAACCAAGTTTTCAGTTTTGATTTTTAATACAAAATTAAATACTTATACGACAATGTTTTTTATTTAAACATATTAAACTTTAATTTATTAAAGTATAGACATTAAATTCTATAACAACTACCAAATTTAATATAAAGAACTTTTAATGCAGAGTAATGGAAAATAGATATAGTGTACTTTTACTTTAAGTAATAGAAAGAGCACCGAAACACGAGGCTATCTGATTTGTACGAGGGGGCGTAGCCCCCAAGTATAAATCAGATTGCCGAGTGTTTTGGTGATCTTTCTCTTTTGTATCATAGTCAAATATGACAGCACGTTCCCTGTTGTCATAATATGAAACCCCAGAAAAAAACCAATGAACGAGCATTTGAATATGATATTTCTGCCCCTTTCCCTTATTCTGCCGTCACAATAAGTAAACCCCAGCAAAAATGAACCAATCTACGGGCATTATCTGGAGTGCGGGTAACTGATACCTGCACTCCAGTTACCGCACTGTGCATGTATATGTACGATTTAACTCTGACACTTTTTCAACAGAAAGGTCCCCAAACTGTGATACAATAAAGAAATACTAAATAATTTACTTTTATAATACCTAATAAATTTAGATAGGGGAAGGGGCGGTAGCTTGGTTTTGTAACCGTTGCTACCAATGATGCCAATAAAATTTGACCTTATATACCAAAGTAATTATTATTTTTAATTAACCAATATATTAACATATTATCTTAAACATTTAGCTTTATAAATGTAAATTAAGAATAACTACCAAAAACAAAATTATTAAAGTTTTATACCTGAGACCTTTTTTATTTTGACAATTTTAATAGCTAATAATTTACTCGATATGTTGTGTACAAACCACTTTATAAAATGTAACAAATTATAATTTAAATAATTTATGTACCAAAAAGAAAAGGGAAATAACAATTTATAACCTAATTTAATAAGTGTTAAAAATTAAAGTTAAGATGAAACGACTAGTTTCATTGGCTAAAAGAAGTTGTGGCCACAAGATAATAAGCCGTTGCCATGAGAAAATGTCTCGAGACATATAATTTTGTGGCCACGACTAATATTCTGGCCACAACTTATAATCTTGTGGCCTGAAGGTACTATCTCGTGCCCACGACTTACTTTCTTGTGACCAAAACTTATTATCTTGAGGCCTCAAGATATAATTCCGTTGCCACAACTTATTATTATTTGTAGCTCGAAGAAACTGTGGCGAATTCACCGCTGTCACAGCTTTTGACCCAACGACTAGTTTCACTGGCTGAAATAAGTTGCGGCCACAAGATAATAATTCGTTGCCATGAGATAATGTCTCGAGACATCAAGATAATAATTCGTTGCCATGAGATAATGTCTCGAGACATCAAGATAATAATTTATGGCCACAAGATAAAATCTTGAGGCCACAAAATAAAATGTTGTAACCACAAGAAAGAAACAATACTGCAAATGTCACCTCTAAGTCACCGTAATATACAGCATACATTTAACTTTAACTCCGGTACATGAGCTACAACTGTTATGATACCGCATTTACATACAGTGCTTGTATGCATGCAATTTTACACATTAAATGCGAATGCAAGGGCAAGATATATATATATACAGCACAATGTAATCTACATAATAGGAATGTTTAAAAGAGAACTGGCCCAACCGTAAATAACTATACTAAACGTATTAACATACATGAACACAAACCACGAGAGAATAATATGTGGACGCCGAGTTTCCTAAAAAAAGTATTTTTTGAAGAATATTTGGTCTCCATATTAAAAATAATTAAACTTATATAAAGCAAGCTTCAAACAAATATACATAATGTATTTTTGCAATGCAAAAATCTTACCATTGCAAAGATACTGATGAATATACAAAATGTATGTAAAATTCGATGCCTATTCGCCGTGTTATCTGTGTTCCTGTTCTGTATTTTCCCATTGCTCCCGTCCTCTATTACTGTTTCGTTTGTCTCACTTGAGTTAAATACTTGCTTGCTTGTCGAATCATTATTTTCACTCATCGTCAAATATATGTTGTTCTTTATGCGTTCTTATCGATTTCGTCACATATAAGGGGATTAATAATCCTCAAGCAACAAGTTCGTTGATGATTTCACAATAAGGGGAGCTTACATATAAATAGTTCCTGCTTCTTTTTGTTAACTTTACCCCAACAATTATTTTTGTGTTATCCAACAATTTCCTTTTTGACTTTATTTGCCAACTTGCGTAATTGAATAATATAACTCCAGGATTCGGTCATTCAATATTGATAACAAATGATCTAAGTCTAAACAGATATCATAAGTCTAACAAATATTCTTAAGTGTTCTCACCTTAAGTATGTTAATGATAACGTACTAGTACCTTGCTATCTACACAAGGTTAATAATTCACCGGAGGGAACGTGCAGTACGGAATCGACTTCGTGGTTGCATAATGAAATTTTAAAGATGACACTCATGGAGGTAGGTAATTATTTTATACTATCAAAAAGTTTTGTTTGTCAGAAATCAAAGTACTGTTGATAGCATGTGACAAAATTCACCGACCTCTCCGAACGTAAATAGTCTGCAATGTTGAAAAAAATTGTTTTGTAATACTGGTTGCCCTACTTTCTCATCCAATGAAATGGTTTGGATTCGATTAAATTAAAAAACATATATTTCGCCAATAATATCTTCATGAAAAAAAACTATTTATGCAATTAAAATGTGTTTATTTTTGTACTGTAAAAAGAAATCTTCTATAACGCCTTTACTATTTTACCAGGCGGCAAGTAAAATTTAATGTTTTCAAGTCTCGCACGTGCTTGAGCAATAATTCATGATATGACATCATCAAAGCGTTGCGTGTGTTTTTGTACATGTATGTCTTTTTACACAGTATTAAATTAGTTTGATAACCAACATGATCAAGTCAATTAAGATCTGTTTTTCACTTTCCCCTTACTTTATACTGATGAAGAGTTGATACTTTTGTCTACGAAATATCCCATTTAAAACAAAAAGCAAACAAAACAACAACAATAAAACAAACTTTTGTTGAACTCGTTGTCTTGTGAATAGACTGCTTCAATGTGTTGGATGATATCTATGTGACGGGAAAAAACTAAAATACTTATACCATGCAAGTACCATAGTAACGGATCGTAATGACATTATTTTTTTCAAATTCTGTTGATTGCGAATCGGTTACATTCCTGGAATATATTGCATTTATTGTGACCCTTCGGGAGTCATCATCTTAGCCAGTTAGAATTTTCAAAATGATATGTAGTTCTTACCTGTACGTCAAAGCAAGATGTTAGAGTTACCTACCTTGGCCTGTATACATTGTTTATATTGAAGTATATTGAAGGAAACGTGCTTCCTTATTATCTTTACCGCGATAAGTCTTTTTGATAACATGTGTCATTCTACAAAATGAACCAGACATGGACCCGGCCTTGTCAATTTTCGCTTTCTTTATTCTATAGTTAATCTGTCACATTAAAGTCTTTATTCTGGACTCCTATTAAACTCAGCAGAATTCTGTATTTTATTCCGTATTCTGTTTACAAACATCACGAAGGACTGCGTACCTATTATGAGCTGGAAGAGTACATACATGTATATTTGCTCCTTTCTTACTAGACCTGTCCAGCAAAGTACTACTCAGTATTAAAGTTACAGAATGGATTTCTTTGTAAACAGATGTTTATCGGCATTGAATCACAAGGAGACACAACACAACTTTTTCCCATGTTTCTGTTATCATGACATTCTTAATTGTGTTCTCTTCTTTCTTGAATATGTGTGGGAATATATAGTAATGTGTTTTTTTCCAATATAATTATTTCCCTATATAGTTATGTCATGGTACAATCAGTATTTATCAATGATCTTAACTATATAAAATTAACCAATTAAAAGCATGGTGTGAAGCGCTCAATGATGTAAATAAGTTGGGCATTGAAACACTTAAGGTCACTATTCCAAGCTTTTAAAAAATATATACGCTCGTATACGATAATATAATACGTACTATTTAATAATTAGTACATATAAATTAAAGAATGATCATTGAATGATACAAGTCCATAAATATGCTAAGCGTACTTCAGTAAATATCTCTAATATTTCATGAAGTGACTGCGTCTGCCATTTTGTGAAGAAAGCTATCACTTATATAATAAAATGTTCCTTAATTAAACAGACCTCAAAACAATAGACTCAGTTAAATTTTTGCACAAGAACGATCAGTGATCACATATGACGCCTGATAATAGCTAATTAAGCATATGTACTGAAGGGTGGAATACAACTTTGTTCTCCTATTTGTCGCGGCTACTCCATAGCATGCTGTAGTTACTGTGTAGAAGGAGACACAAGAAACATTGACATGCCAAAACGCATTTTAATACAAGGGTGATAAGTCATAAAAAGTCAATTTTTGCTATGAGAGTCACTAATTGCTATTTGAAGTCACTGTTTGCTATGGAAGTCAATTGTTGTTGTAGAAAGTCACCAGTTGCTACGTAAATCTATGGTTGCAATAGAAGTCACTAGATGCTATGGAAAGTCAATGGTTGCTATAGAAAGTCAATGGATATTATCCAGTCACTGGGTGCTAAGCAGTCTATGGTTGCAATTGAAAGTTATTTGTTGCTATGTTAGTCAATGATTTCTATGGAAAGTCACTGGTTGCTGTGGAAGTCTGTGGTTGCTATGAAAAAAAAACGCTGGTTGCTATTGAAGTTAATGGATACTATTGAAAGTCACTGGTAGGTATGGAAGTCACTGGTTGCCGTGTAAAGTCAATGGTTGCTATGAAAGTCAATGTTTGCTATGATAGTAAGTAGTTGTTATGGGAAGTCAATGGTCCCCATGGAAGTCTATGGTTGCTATGGAAAGTTACTGGTTGCTATATAAGTCAATGGTTGCTAAGGAAAGTCACAGGTTGTTATGGAATTATCGATGCTACAGAAGTCAATCGTTGTAACATTGTTAACTGATAGCTATTGAAAATTATTGGTCGCTACGGAAAAGTCATCGCTAATTGCTACGGCAAGTTATTGTTAAAGAAGTTACTCCATGGTTGCTATGGAAAGTCAGTGGCTACTAAACAAGTTATTTGTTGTAATAGAAAGTCACAGGTTGCTATGGAAGTGTTTAGTTGCTATAGAAAGGCACAGGTTTCGATGGTTGACATCGAAGTCTATGGTTGCTATGGAAAGTCACTAGTTAATTTTGACCCAAGGGGGTCATGCTAAACATATAAGTTATAGCTCTTTTTTTTTTTTTGGAATTCTATTCTTTGGACAATTTTAAAGGTTACCATCAAAGGAACATTCCTGTAAAGTGTGGATGAAATTGGCTTAGTGGTTTATGAGAAGTGACTTTTAAAATTAAAGTTTACGGGCGGACGTACGGACATTCAATCTGAGTTGACATTTTGAGTTTTTTGTTTGATCTTAATTGATCTCGAAAACCCCATAAGCAAAGAATTTGCACCACATAAGCAACTGTTTTCCCAACAAGTACAAGTATGTACGGAATGAACATGGATATTCACCCAAGCCATAATTCTGACAAAAATCATTGAACTGGAATTTGCCGACGAGATGTACAAGTAAACTGGGTAGTGTTCATTCCTGTAATGTTTGTATGAAAGTGTACCAGTAGTTTTTGAGAATTAGTCCGGACAATTTATGTGACAGAAGGACAGACAAACACAAAACAGAGAAGTGATCCATATTTGACGCAGTCTACTTTGTAGCCGTCTACACAAAAATCTGTGTTTCTGTCAAGGATCTTGGCTGACGAACAAATTATTGTGGCGTTTTCCCATTATAATGTAATTTTTAATAAGCCAAATATGTTGAAATTATCTTGGATCTTCCCTCAAAAGCATTTTTATTTCTTATTTTTTCTTAGCCTGCTTTTTGATGGTATTTAAGATTTCTTATGTACACTAATTACTAGCTCATATTGCAAATTTTGCATTTTAGGGAACTAATAAGATACATCACCTACCTATAGTAATCAACCTATCGTTAACTTTAAAAACTTTAAATATGTAATTTCACCAGTGTATAAATGACAAAAATACCAAAGTGTATAAATTTGGTTTATTTATAAATGATAACATGATAATATTGCTTTATAGCAGTAAAGTCAATATCACAAAACAATAATCATAGTTATTGTTAAATACAAATAATACACTACATTTATCAGTTGCAAAAACAATTGATGAATGAGAGTGAACGTGTTATTTATTTCATATACATTTTATTTAAAGACACATTGACAGCATATAAATGAAGATATATAAATAACCTACAATACAAAATCTGTAGGACAGCGCTCAAAGAATAGCAAGAGCCCCGATTATGTAGAAATTAACGGAATGTTCCATTTCAATTTTATTACATGATTATGAGTCTTGATTTGTAACCTTCGAATTAAGATTATTATGGTAACAAAGGCACAGTAAAGCCTCACAAAGGGGTCAGTCACCTCATGTTATAGATAAGAACCAGTGTTTATGTTTTAAGTGAATATATCAATAGATTTTAAGACTGATGATGCATTTTATGAATGTCAAAAGAATATAAATATAGCAAATCAAAATAATACATACAATCTTAAATCCATGGTTAAATGTATGAATTTTTTTCATGTTCAGTTAATTAAACCTGCTTAATTTTCCAAAGGGTTCTTACGAATAAACATCAATAAAAAAAACAATGTTATAGATAATTCAAGCAAGATTCAAGGATTTGACCGTGAAGGTCAATGTTATTTGTAAGTCTTGATTCAAATCCTTACAATACTCACAAGTAAACCTTTTGTAGAATAATCCTAAGTTTTATAAAAATTGTTCGAGCAGTTGTTGAGAAGAAAGGCACACAATACTGTGTCCATATATAGCTGGTGGTTTAGATGAACGGCTAGATAAACCAAATTTATCCCATTTTCAACTTTGTTGAATTGTATTTTCAAATTAGCATCTAACACTTGGTCTCTATTCTTTACATTATATTTAATGATTTTCCTTAACATAATCTTATTTTATAAAACCTAATATCCGTAAAACTTGCTTGTTTAAGTCTATATTACAAGTAAAATGACAATGTAATTATAATAATAATAATAAAAACTTATATTGTAACATGCAGTGCAAATGTATGTATACTATACGACAAGTATTTCAACATATCAATAGATACAATATGGCACTAAAGAAACAATTCAAATACAAGAAATTTTTAAATAGAACAATATTTTGGTGACATTAGTGAACACAAATAAACTATACACAATATTTACAGTAACAATATCTGATAAATTGCATAAAAGGTGATACTTAACTAATGATCACCTAAGCAAATGAGCTACACAGTTATGTCTCTCCATTATGCAAATAATGGATAATTTTAACCAGAAACAAAAGCTGTCACTGTCAAGTGAATAATGTCCCGGATTTAATCTTAAAATCTGACAAAGAGTTATAAAATAACAGGGCAAGACTTGAAGAAAAATCATAGTGATAATCTCAGCTTAAGACCTGCTGATAAAACAACATAAACGCAGTAAACCTTTCTCTGAAATTTCGTTTAATTCCAGTCACTGGTTGCTGTGAAATAGTAAGGACCAAAATACGAGACAAATCATGCGATCACTATATGTATATATGTAACCCATCGAGGACATTAAAAAAATAATGCTGCATTTGTAAATAAAACATTTTGGGTAAATATCACCTCATATCTAATAGATCTAGAGACAGTTAGTGTTTAAATGACAAAGGATCATTAAATCATTGCCTTAATAAAAGTAAAACAATGATTTACAATATAAGACTGAAATATAAAATATCAAACATGCATACTTTCTTTTCATGATTCTCCTGCCCGTCAGCTGACAGCTTATCTGCATCAGGATTTTTACAAACCCATTATAAAATTATAAAAAAAAAATTATATACCTAGTATTCAGAGCATGTACAAGCATTAGTCTCTAAACATAGTTTAAACCCGTCTAATGTTCTATATCAAACACAAAAATATAAAACATTTACAAATACAGACAATATGTTTGTCATACTAACTTGATGTAGTAAAGACTGCCATACATAACAATAGTAATGTAGTGACCTATTAAAATAGTAATGTAGTGAACTATCACAAAAATAATGTAGTGAACTATCATAATAGTAATGTAGTGAACTATCACAATAGTAATGTAGTGAACTATCACAATAGTAATGTAGTGACTATTACAATAGTAATGAAATGACCTATTAAAATAGTAATGTAGTGAACTATCACAATAGTAATGTAGTGAACTATTAAAATAGTAATGTATTGAACTATCACCATAGTAATGTAGTAAACTACCACAATAGTAATGTTATGAACTATCTCAATAGTAATGTAGTGAACTATCACAATATTAATGTAGTGTACTATCACAATATTAATGTAGTGTACTATCACAATAGTAATGTAGTGAACTATTACAATAGTAATGTAGTGAACTATCAAAATAGTAATGTAGTGAACTATCACCATAGTAATGTAGTGAACTATCACAACAGTAATGTAGTGAACTATCTCAATAGTAATGTAGAGAACTATCACAATAATAATGTAGTAAACTATCAGAATAGTAATGTAGTGAACTATCTCAATAGTAATGTAGTGAACTATCACAATAATAATGTAGTGAACTATCACAATAGTAATGTTATGAACTATCTCAATAGTAATGTAGTGAACTATCACAACAGTTATGAAGTGAACTATCATAATAGTATTCTGGAGAACTATTACAATAGTAATTTAGTGAACTATGACAATAATAATGTAGTGAACTATCACAATAGTAATGCTATGAACTATCACAATAGTAATGTAGTGAACTATCACAATAGTAATGTAGTGAACTATCACAATAGTAATTTAGTGAACTATTACAATAGTAATGTAGTGAACTATCACAATATTAAACTAGTTAACTATCATATGTTACCATGCAAGCAATATATTTACTAAGTTTTCTCATAACTAAACAGAGTCCACATCTTAGTAAAATATCTTCTATGAATTGTCATTTTTACTATAATGAAAGAATAATTTTTATTTGCTTTTTTTATTATGTTAGAAAAAGAAGGGACAAGTATTGGTTTTGGTATAAATCATGCTAATATCTAAAGAAGAATATGAAATTAATAGTAAATTAATTTGATAAATATCATGAAAAAAGAATTAAGGCATTCTGAATTATCATTAAAACATTAATGTTAACAATGAGTAACAAATAAACTATATTAATCTCTAGTATAACATGAATATAAAAAACACGAGTGCTTGCGTATAAACACCACTTAATCTTCTTTTTTGTTTCAAAGAAAGTAGATGCTCTTATTGTGGTGATATTGATAATTCAAATTGTAAACAAAGTGAAAACTAATTCTGCCACTCATAAGTTTGTTGTTAAAAAAATAAGAATGGAAATTTTACAAAAATATAATCATACACAAATATTTCTATAAACTTGACTTCAACAATTGACAACAGTAAAATGCACTTAAGAGAAAGAAATATAAATACCAAAGCTATATATATTTCTAGTACAACAACACAGTTATTATAAGAAATACAATAATTAACCTGCAGTGTGACATGACTTATATCTCACTGACATGTTATCAATATTTCATAAACAGATAAGAAAAGATAAAATAAAATAATGTTTACTTTTTTTCAGAACCACTTAGTAGTGGAATGTTCAGAACCACTTATGAGTACAAGATTTCAGATAAACTCATCAGAACAATAATTTAAACTCACTCATAAGTACAGTATTTCTGACAAACTCATCGGTACAATATTTAAGACTCAGCCAGCAGTACAATATTTCAGAATCATTCAGCAGTACAATGTTTCAGACACACTCATCTGATCAATATTTAAGATACACGTGTCGGATCCATATTTTAGATACACTCACCGGATCAATATTTCTGAGACAGGCACCAATATTTTCAGCAGAACAATAGTTTAGACTCACTCAGCAGTACAATATTTCAGACTCACTCAACAGTACAATATTTCAGACACCCTCAGCAGTACAATATTTCAGACACACACCGCAGTACAAAATGACTTATTATATAAAATAGCTTTTTAACAAATTCGTATTGTCTGTACTATGTTTGCAAATACATTTATTATTTTATCTTATTATTTTTAAAATGTTGTTTTATGCGTTTTATGTGAGGTTATACTTTATATTATATATGTGCTAATATTGAAATTATATATGCGGTTTCATTTTATGTCATATGAGTCGTAATACTTTATTTTATATGTGTGCTAATATTATTCATATAGGTAAGTTCAATAATATTCTTTGTTTAATTTGCTGAATACCATGGTATGAAAAAAATTTTTTCTTCTTTTCGTCTTCGGTCACGTATTGGTAAATGTATGCTATTCAGATAATGTGCATGACTTGTTGTTAGTGCCTCAATATTAATAAGTTGCTCCGAGACTTGAGTGAAAATTTTCCTGTAACAAACTTGCATGCTTTTTGCTTCCATCTAAGCTAAAAATAGAAAACTTTTCAAACAATTTCTCATGTTTCATTGATCCTCAATATATTCTCATTATATCTTTGGGTTGTTTTCTGTATAGTGTCTCATTAAATCTGCATAGAAATCTACTTGGTCGTTACCACAGCTATAATCGAAATAAAACCAATGTATTCACATCACTCACATCACTCGACATTGTATAAATGAGTACATGTACTAAAAACTTTGAAACGGTTAAACCAAAGCCTTGGCGGATGAATATCTTTTCAAAGGCACTTCGAAATATATTATATTCTTTAATGGTCTTTTTTCTTCGCTTTTAATAACAACAGCAATGAGTTAACAAATTCAGTAATAAATGCCTGATATATAAAATGTAAATATGTTCAACTTGTATAATAAAGATAAAATATTACAACTTTGAAGAACTCTCCCTGTTGCTTTTTCAGTGTTAAACCTATAGACATCCTAAAGGTAAAACCATACTAATGGGCACCGTAAGGAACTGAATAAATGCAGAAGCGAGTTGTTTGCCTTAATAGCTGAAACAAAGTTGAGTAGAATGCCTTAAAGAATATTTATATTCAAAATTCAAACAAAATTTATCCTACGGCTAAAAGCTCAGACATCAGTATCTTTGCAGATACATGTACATGGAAACTCTTGATAAAAATTACGTTTTCCTACTGATAAAAACATTAACCATATAATTGTACAATATAAATGGTTGTTTCAACTCAAACTGTATGAAATCCTACCCCAGCCATTTTCAACTATTCTTTAACAAGTTTTCTGTTTCACGTGCCAAATCAAGAATCTTTCAAATATGCCCATATTGCTTCAAAAGAATATAAGTTTACTGCGTCAAATATTGAATATCTTTTAGTGGTTTTACATGCAATATCCAAGCGCCCCACACCCGACCCATTTTTATTTGGAGAATAAACATGATTATTCTCTTTTTAAATATTCACGTATTCAATGTGAATACTTTTAAGATTTTCAGACAATGATACTGATGTAGGTTTTCTTACTTTGTTGAATTAATTTTAAATCATTGAACAAAATTTTACTTAAGAATGGTTAAAAGAAGATGCATGTAATTGCAACAGATTCTATGTTGTGCTTGTTTCTCTACATGAAATCACGCTGTTTTTATAATTAGATTCATTTGCAAAACACCCATCATTTCTTCTATTAACAAAACTATGTGCTCCATATTTGGAATAGATTGAAAACATATATGCCATGTCTGTTCAAATTTGACATTTTTTTATTTTCTTTTTTCGATTGCTTTAATTTGCTTTTCAATATTTGCTCAAAAAATGTTTTATTCCGTTTTTTTGTTCAATGTATATTTCTCAAAACCACTCATAGACCTTAACAATTATTAAATCTTATCATTTTTATTAGCACGCTAAACATTTTTAATAATTATAACGGACACAAATTTAAGTTTTACATCTTCTGTAACAATGAAAGACGATAAACATTTGACATAGTCTATTCCTTCCCTGTATTGCTTAATTTCGTCCTTGTATATATTTTCTATCTTTAAATTAACTTTGCTGTTACATTTCTCAACTACTTTAACAAATTGTAGAAATGATTTGCTACTAATTTCTACTAGACGAAAATCAAATTCGATTCTATTAACAATAGAACTATAAGAATCTGCTTTTATTGAACCATCCTGTTCTGATGTATGTAGCTCATATTCAACAGTATCATCTCTCACAGTTATATCTAAGAAATGTATTCTCACATTCTGCTTTGTTCTTAATAATTTGTATAATATTTTATTTGTCAGAGTAACTCCAGTGAGGTGCAACTGTAAACCATCAACACATGGAAGTTCAAGGATATTGTCACAAATATTCATATATTTCAATTCGATGTTTTGTAAATGGCAAAGTTTTGGTATAGTGGAAAACAGTGCAGTGTAATCAGTAGGTGTTGAAAAAATATCGAAATCAGGAAATTTACAGCCTTCACATGACAGTATCTTCAGTTTCGACTCAACAGGTAGACTATTGAGTATTGCTGTTACAGTGGTAACAGGTAAAGCATCCATAGAACATTCTTCAAGGGAATTCAAACTACCTGTAATGTTTACACTTTTAACATCTTCCCCCGATACAGATCCTTCATTCATCATTGTCTGTAAAAAAACTGTGAACTCCTGTTCTTTCGATAAGATAAAATAAGGTACACGACATAGTCTTAGCCTCTTTAATTGTTCATTCAGCTGCAGCTTTAACAAAGGTACACTATCAAGTGCTAGCTGCTGTAAATGTTTATTCAGTTGTAGCTGTGATAAAGGTACACTGTCAAGTGTTAGCTGCTGTAAGTGTTCAATAAGCTGCAGCTGTGATAAAGGTACATTTTTCAGTGTTAACTTCTGTAAGTGTTCATTCAGCTGTAGCTGTGATAAAGGTACATTTTCCAGTGCTAACTGCTGTAAGTGTTCATTAAGCTGCAGCTGTGATAAAGGTACATTTTCTAGTGTAAGCTGCTGTAAGTGTGTATTCAGCCTTAGCTGTGATAAAGGTACATTATCTTGAGGAAACGAATGCTCTGGAAAAAATATATCATTTATACCGAAATGTAAGTGCATTTCCACCAAACTAGTTTGCTTCTTGACAAACATTAGAAATTTCTCTAACAAACCATGTGTTAAAGCTAAGTCAGATGAAACAAACAATAATTGAAGATGTTTTGCATTTAACTCAGAAAGAAAAGTAAGTATCTCAGATGAAGAAACACTTCTATTAGATAGATCAAAATAAACATTTGAGCTACAAGGGGGGTTTGCCATATAATGTATTTCAAAGTCTCTTTGTGAATTTCTTTTTTGTTTGTTTACAAAAATAAAAGATTTCAAGTTCAAAGCATTCTGTTGAACAAGAGTTTTCAAAACATCATAGTATTTACCTTCTTTAATTGACTCATTAATGATAACATCATCTAAATGTAGATTAAATTCTTCATTTCCATTGTTTCTACATTCTATAGCGCAGTTTACTTTCATATCCTGAATCTCCCAAATTGCAAAAAAGGAGACAGTAGAAGACTCATTTCTAAAATATTGCATACAATCATCATCTGGTAATGACTGAAACACCCTTCCTGATATACTTGGACTGACTCCACTCAGGAACATGAAAACAGTTCCCATCTCTAGAACTGTCAAAGCCATATGACATTTTTTAACTATCATAGCCTCGATAGTTGTGCCATACTCTGCTTGAATATACAATGCAGCGAAGTATTCTTGCACAGTTTTATGTTGAAATGAATAAGTATATTTCTTTCTCTTTGATTTTACATAAACGGGTTGTTTTGTCAGCAAACCTGTCTTTAAACAGGTATCTAATATTTCATCAGCTAGAATATTGCTGTCCTCAACTGTGAGGTATTTTTCAGTAACTTTTTCATCAAACACAAGTGATGACAATTTGTTATCAGAAAATAACAGATTGAATGCCAATTTCCCAAGTCTTATCATCAGATCATAGTATGTCTCACAAAGTAATTCTTGGAAGTAACTTATTTGTGAAGATCTGGTGTTTTTTAATTTGCTAAGATCAATTTTATCCTCAACTATGCTAAATAAAGCATCTACCATATCACTATAAATCTCAAACTGTGAGTTCCCAATACTTTTTTCCATATTCCATAGATACACTAAGTGTGCTAAAATGACTGGTGTCCCATAAAAATGGGAAACCTTTTTATCTTCTAGTTCTTTAATAAATTCCTTACAGGCTTTGTTGGTGTCTGACATATCTTTTCTCAAATGTTTTCTTTTTTCAAACAGGGCCATTATGCTTGAAATGAGCCTTTCTTTGCATATTTTTTGGACATTTTCAATACATACCATCTGATCAATTTCTTTCGAACTGAGGGCAATCGAGCAAAATTTCCATGGCCTTGAAGTTGTAATGTATGTACAACTTGGTCGAATAAGCCTTTTAGGTATACTAGATACGTTCCATTCATCAAGACCATCTAAAACAATCAGACATCTTTCTTCACACATCACTCTCTCTATCATATCAATTGTATATTTGTTTTGTCTTCCTAAAGCAGGTAATATTGTATTTCTTATCATAGAATCTACATTCATATTCTTATCATTTATTTTCCTGAGAAAAATAATAAAAACAAAATCAAATTTTTTTAATTGATTTACCTCTTCCCTGTCAAAATAGTGGTCATCTTCCTTTACAGGCTCATGTGCCTGACACCAGTTTAATGAAAGCCACTTCACAAAGGATGTTTTACCAAGTCCAGGTTCTGCTGTCAAATATATATTCATGCACTCTTTCGATTGTTTGTAAAACATCTCTTGTAGCGAATTAACAGGTTTTCCATCTGGTGTTTCCTCCTGCAAATCCTTTACCATATCCGAAAAGTAATTAGGAATGTGTGTTTCATTCTTTATTGTAGATTGTTTGGCCACATTTTTCAGTGTGTCTGTTTCCTTTGAATACAATGGATAAGGCGGAATATAGACATCTGTTAAAGAGGCATCAACATCATCTAAACCAGGACAGATGTTCACCGTACTGCAACTGTCCCTGTAGAATGCAACGAGATCAGACTGCAAATCTGTAAAACAATGCATAAAATGATAAGAAGTGTTTATTCATTCATTTATTCAATAATTAACAAGAATGTCGAACGACAAATATACCCCCCTTTCTAGCCTCACATAATTGGTAATTTTGTTACAGAAACTTGCCAAAATAGGGTACATGGAAGTGTTCAATTATGGAAAAAAGAAAAATAATGAAGACTTTGTGATGAATAGTTTAAAAGATAATGATATATCTAAGGCCCCTGCGACCTAGAACTTTGAACTAGTGACCCAAACCGATAGACGTCATCTATAGGTATTACCAATCAATACTACAAATTTGAAGACTTTGTGATAAATAGTTTTCAAGATAATAAGCGGAAAAAATATTACCATTCAAGGATTCTGTGACCTTTATGTTTAACCTAATGACCCCAATATCAATAGGGGTCATCTACCACGTACGATCAATCAATATGTGAAATATGTGACATTCAAGAACCCTGTGAACTTTATCTTTGACTCATCCCAAAATCAATAGGTTCACTTACTTGTGATAAAAAATCTTCAAGATAATATGCAGAAACCATTCTGACACTTAAGGCCCCTGTGACCATTAATCTAGTGACCCCAAAAGCAATACAGATTATCTGTTGGTTATGACCAATCACTTTGTGATATATGTAGACTTTTTGATAATAGTAACCAACATAATAAGTGGAAATAATATTACCATTCAAGGATTCTGTGACCTTGATGTTTAACCTAATGACCACAATATCAATAGGGGTCATCTACCACGTACGATCAATCAATATGTGAAATATGAAGACTTTGTGATGAATACTTTTCAAGATAATCAGCGGAAACCATTTTGACCTTTAAAGGCCCTGTGACCTTGATCCTTGGCCTAGTGATCCCAAAATCAATAGGGTTTATTTACTAGTAATGACAAATAACTATGTGAAATATGAAGGCCATGTGATGAATACTTTTCAAGAAAATAAGCTGAAACCATTTGGCATTTAAAGCCCCTGTAACCTCGAACTTTGACCTAGTGACCCTTAAATCAATACGGATCATCTATTACTTATGGTTCATCACAATGCGAAATATTCTGAGTTTGTGATGAATACTTTTAAAGATAATCAACGGAAACCATTTTGACATTACAGGCCCATGTGACCTTGACCTTTGAACTAATGACCCCTTAATCAATAGGGGTCATCTACTAGTTATAACCAAATACTAGGTGAAATATGAAGACTTTGTGATGAATACTTTTCAAGATAATAAGCTGAAACCATTTGGCATTTAAAGCCCCTGTGACCTCGAACTTTGACCTAGTGACCCTTAAATCAATACGGATCATCTATTACTTATGGTTCATCACAATGCGAAATATTCTGAGTTTGTGATGAATACTTTTAAAGATAATCAACGGAAACCATTTTGACATTACAGGCCCATGTGACCTTGAAATTTGACCTAATGACTCCTTAATCAATAGGGGTCATCTACTTGTTATAACCAAATACTAGGTGAAATATGAAGACTTTGTGATGAATACTTTTCAAGATAATCAGTGGAAACCATTTTGACATTTAAGGCCCCTGTGACCTTGACCTTTGACATAGTGGACCCAAAATCAACAGGGGTTATCTACTAGTTATGACCAATCACTTTGTGAAATATAAAGCCTTTGTAATGAATACTTTATAAGATAATCAGCGGAAACCATTTTGACCTTTAAAGGCCCTGTGACCTTGACCTTTGACCGAGTGACCATAAAGTCAATGTGGATAATCTACTAGTAATGACCAATCACTATGTGAAATATGAAGACATTGTAATGAATACTTTTCAAGATAATCAGCGGAAACAATTTTGACTTTAAGGCCCCTGTGACCTTGACCTTTGACCTAGTGACCCCTAAATCAATAGGAATCATCTACTAGTTATGACCAATCACTATGTGAAATATGAAGACTTTGTGATGAATACTTTTCAAGATAATCAGTGGAAACCATTTTGACATTTAAGGCCCCTATGACCTTGACCTTTGACCTGTGACCCCAAAATCAACAGGGGTCATCTACTAGTTATGACCAATTACTATGTGAAATATGAAGACTTTGTGATGAATGCTTTTCAAGATAATCAACGGAAACCATTATGACTTTAAGGCCCCTGTGACCTTGACCTTTGACCTAGTGACCCCTAAATCAATAGGAATCATCTACTAGTTATGACCAATCACTATATGAAATATGAAGACTTTGTGATGAATACTTTTCAAGATAATCAGTGGAAACCATTTTGACATTTAAGGCCCCTGTGACCTTGACCTTTGACCTAGTGACCCCAAAATCAGTAGGGGTCATCTACTAGTTATGACCAATCACTATGTGAAATATGAAGACTTTGTGATGAATACTTTTCAAGATAATCAGCGGAAACCATTTTGACATTTAAGGCCCCTGTGACCTTGACCTTTAACCTAGTGGCCCCAAAATCAATAGGGGTCATTTACTAGTTATGACCAATCATTATGTGAATTATGAAGACTTTGTAATAAATACTTTTCAAGATAATCAGTGGAAACCATTTTGACATTAAAGGCCCCTGTGACCTTGACCTTTGACCTAGTGACTCTAAAATCAATAGGGGTCATCTACTAGTTATGACAAATGACTATATGAAATATTAAGACTTTGTGATAAATACTTTTCAAGATAATCAGCGGAAACCATGTGGTCTACCACACACGAAAGACCGACATTAGCAAAACAATATACCCCCTCTTCATCGAAGGGGGGCATAATTAATTTATTTATTTATTTATTTATTTATTATTGTTATTGAAATAAAAAAACATATCATGCTAATTGAAAGTAAATTTTATTGCATGAAATAGCTTGTTTTCAATTTTTTGTGTACCTATGACAAAGTTTTTATCGTGGACACATTTATATTATCATGTGGTTAGAATGAATCATACATTTGTTGTCATTTTGAACAGAATGATTTGCAACATTTTTATAGCTCTGCAACATTCTGGAATCAAAGTAAGATTTTTTTACACTTTTATAGCTCTGCAACATTCTGGAATCGAGGTAGGATTTTTTACCGTCATTTCCCTGTACAAGAAGAATCCCGGGGAAAGTAATTTTTAAAACAAGGGATGTGAGTTTAAGGGGCGGGCCCACTAGGTTATACTACATGCTAAATGTCTAAGCTGTAGGCAGTGATTTCACACAAGAAGATTGCACTGTGATTTCCTATAGATGTCCATCCCGGGGCTGGGCCAAATTTTGACCCGATGGGCACGTTTTAACATTAGTGTTGTAGAGGGCCTCTATGTGATGCGCTATATGTGTATGCCATATATTAACAATCTGGAAATGAAAGTTCTGTAGAAGAAGCTTTTAAGACATGGTTCATAAGTATATGTAAACAAAGTGACCCCCGGGATGACCCAATTAAATCTTCATGAACATGATAAACATAACTTTTGTAGAAGTCCACGGGATAACGCAACATGAAATATGGCACTTGGCATGTTATTTTGTTGTGACTAATGCTGCCGAGGGATCACATTGATTTCAGATTTTTATACTTCACAACAGCGGGTATCAAGTGCCGTGTGGCAGCTGTGAAAATTTGCCCCTTACTTCACTTCGGTGTTGTTTTTTTCCTGGTCCCTCGGGATCATTGATGTCAGCACTATTAATTGATGAGAATAGAGTACCGCTCTTGAGTACCGCTTAAGCCGGTACTAGTGGGCGTGAGAGATGTTGCACTTATTCATTTTCCCTCATGTACAGACTCAATCAAACCGAATCTCCAATGTTCATGTAGTTCAGTTCTGTTGTGAATTATGCTTCCGAGGGATCACTTTGTTTCCAGATTTTTATAATTCTTCTTTAACTTAATGATTGAAAGGGTGGGGCGATTCTTGACCCAAGGGTTTATACATTACTATAATATTTCAAAGAATATGATAAACAAAATCAAAAGGGAAAGCGATGCTTTTTGCCAAATAATAAACTTACTGGTCTCGTAGGTTTTGAGAAAAATTCTTTAATATGTTTTCCGGGCTAGATATATGTTTCCTATGTCTTTAAATATCTGAAGGCCCCTAGGATGGGACAATTTTATCTCACGGTAATGACTAATAAAACTTTTGGGCAGTTGATGGAAAGCCATTTATGCTCATTTCATGAAGTAGACTTGCAAGTGTCCATGTATAAACGGCCGCATATGTGGCTCAATATTGGCCTCATCATGTTGAAACATTCAAAAGATATAGTTGATAAACATGAAATAATATTCCATTATTAAATTTATAATAAACACAGAATATGCTCAATGAATGCGGTAGTGCAATACAATGTTGCAAAATGACGTTGTCGGTGATACCCAATTATGGACTGGAGCATTTTCTTATGGATGTGACATAACATTGTTTTAAATTTGGGTAGATTTGCCCACTCCTTAACAATTTATATTGGGTATATGATGATAGACTAGTGTCGGTAAATTCGTGTTCATTAACGATAATCTGACACCTCTTTGTATCAAGTGCTTCAAACAGAAGTATTTTACAGACATATGCTTATGGATGCTTGCTTCAGGATGGCGCACCAGCCAACAAATCCAGAACGACACCACGTTTTGCCTGTAACAACATCAATTTGGATACCAGAAAAGTCAACTGACATAAATGTAATTGAAGACTAATAAGAAGAACGAGTACAGTGTCATTGACATTTGCCAAGTTCAACACTGCTTAAAAGAAAGCAAATTTACAACAAAAATGTACATATTTATTCAAGAGGCTGCGATTAATAGTTAGACAGGGCAAACGTGGTAGAAGAATAATCACTAACATCGTCCTTTTCAAGCAACATTATATTCATTGCACATATGTATAAATCTTTTGTTTCTTATGAAATAAAATATGTTAAATACACATCATGACGTCTCTTAACTATATTTTTTGAAAATGTTCAGCATGATTGGGCCAATATTCATACGGGCCACTATAATGTTACAAATATGAGAAAATATTTACACGCATACTTATAGGATTTGTTAAGATTATTTGTAAATTTTGTGCACAAAAGCTAATTTTATTACAAAAATGAATATGATCTGTTTTATAAGTACATTGTATATAGTAACTTAAACTGTTACATAAAACAAAGAATATAAGTTAATTGTACATTGTTGAGTACACAACTGAATTAGTTTGGACAAGAAAACACCTGTAAAATAAAACTTATATTGTTTGTGCCGTAGTAGAATCCAATTAATGTTTTGCAGTAAATAATTAGAATTGCAATTAACCATTTAATAACCATTTAATTTCCCCTCCCTGATTTTGGAAAAAAACACACCCATTTAATTAAAGGAAACACTCAAAATCTAGTGTGTTTGTTTAATAAATGTAAACTAGAGTTTCATAGCCTTACTATGTCAAAAAATAATGATCTGCAGCAAAATTCAAAATCTACCAAATTTTTATTTTGATGCATGTGTTTAAAATAACAGAACAATCTACTGCTTCATTAAATAGATATCATGCATTAAACCATAAAACTGACAGGCCATCCGACCAGCTCACTAATAAATGCATTCATCACATCCTATTTATCGACTTAATTAAGGTAGGTGAATGAAGCTGATAACACCACAACACACAATTTCAAAAAAGTGTCTCAAATTGTAAATGAGACGACTTTTCTAAACTTAGAGTACAAAACGAGGCTATATAGAATGCAGTGTTGAGTAGATTTTGACTTGTAAAGATGAGGCTAAAAAGAGCAGATCCAATTATGTTTTACATTGGGAGATTATATGGTTAAAACAGTGTAATGACAAATTGGTTATATATTTACCTTTGTAAGGTGTGAAATAAATGTTTATACTCACTCTTTTTTGCTGCTATATATTCTTCTTCTTTTTTCTGTTTATTTGCTTTTTTTAACTCTTCAAGTGTTTGTTTGACTTGATCCATGGCGTTCTCAGATTCCTTTAAAATCTTGTTTGCACATTCATCTGTAGCTTTATGTATCACACGTACACCACTTTTAGTTTCAATTTTCAATTTTTTCACTCCTCTATCAGTTTCCGTGTTTATTCTTTTACGAGAAACTTTTGTTCGATTCTCAATTACACCAATAGCAGATTTTAATACATTATCAATTTCAGCTAATGTTACTTTTTCTTTACTTTTCAATGTTGCTAAAAATTTCCGAGTGGCTTCTATAAGCTCATTTTTTATTTTTTCTGCTCGTGTCTTAATCTTTTTATGTGCTACCTTTGCAACATCATCGAGCACTTTCCGCACATCATCTTTACCAATAAGTAATTTATCATCCTTTAACTGAAGTTAATTAACAACATTATTGTTATTTGACATTTAGAATTCACCCACATCTAGCATTTATTTAAGATATTTTAAGACAATTTACTCTCAAATGTAGACTGTTGATGACAATGTTGAGAATTTCTGTAACTCCTTTTAAACATTTTCGAAGTAAATGTACTTTCAATGACAAAGCATATTTATCATGACAAAGTTTTAAAAACTATTTAATTATAAATATATGAATCATAATTGTAACGTGACCTTTAGCTTTTCTAAACTTAGGTCAGATTTTAACATTTTGTTCATGTTTCATATCTAACGGACATGTTTAATTGCATATGCCGGTTAAAGTAACATTACTATTTTGCCGGTTAAAATATTATCAGACTTTCCTAATATAAATCAACTTTCAGTTACAAAGTGCTTGTACGTGTATTTCATCATAAACAAAATGTAAAAAAATCATACATTCACAAAAAATGTACAAAACTAGATACACTTTGTACTGATAGTAGTTACAAATTGATCTATGTTACTAAGTAAGTATTACAAACCTCAGATAATTTTTCCCGTGCTGACTTTGCATATTTAGCGGTTTTCAAGTGTCCAGTATCTGATAGAAGGTTATGAAGGTCAATGAAATATTGCTTTAGATCTTTATCCTCCACTTCCAAATTAGATGAGTGCCGAACATCTCTACCAATCTTTCTAGCCTGTGATTATAGAATAGGAACATACCGGTCATATATAAGGTGATATGATATTACCATTTATTAAATATCATAAGGAACACAAATTTGATAAATATGCCCAATAAATGTGTGAGTGCGTTTCATGCTACTGTCGAAAAATTGATGTTTCATTTAAATTAACATTTTTTGCATATCAGTAAGCGATGGCTTGTGGAACTGTACCAAACTTCTTTGCACATAAGGCGGTTAATTTTTTCCCGTAAAGCTTCTATCACGATTTCGTATAGCCTTATAGCTTCTATCACATCAAAGTCAAGAGATAAGGTGATATTCCATTTAGTTAAATCAAATGTTGTTTATACATCTTCAAAAGATTGTTAGTGTTCTGGACGTGTGCTTGTAAGACATCCTGTAGAAACTGCAATCCTATGTTGTTATTTAGACATTGATAAAATTAAAGTTTGAAGCTCATCTTATTGGTTATGATCGGAAATGAGATTGCAGTTAATTATAACATAGATAACGTCAACAGTCTTCCTGAACTTCCTTGTCGAATGCAACGGACCATCACCCTGTATCTTGCCAATATTTCTGAAGACTAAAATCCACCCAAATGATTTAATGTACAACGACAAATCAAAGTACCAAGTTGCTATCAAAGTCAATATAAACGTACGTTTATTTTGATTAGAGATTCAAATGTAATCATTTTGCGACATTTACCTTTTACGCACAATCACATTTATTGCGTACATGTGGTAAATTTGTGTTTGGTATTTTAATTTCAGGTCTCACACAAAAAAAACATTTGAGGTATTAGACGTATCATTGACTCATTCTTTAAAATGCGTTTAAAACTATAAATTATTAAATTTTACCCCCCCCCCCCAAAAAAAAGGGAAAGAAAACAATTTACCTTTTTGTTTGAAAAATATTGAGAATTAATGTTCAATTTTTGTATCGGTTTTATATAACAAAAACAATTGTGTTTTTATTATCTGTAGAAGGGTTTCACTTATTTCATTCTTTCCTTACATGAAAAGTGATAATAAAGAACTATAGTTTTAAATAACTTTAAATATTTTAAATACATCAATATAAAATGTACAGGAAAAGATATCTTTTGTTTATTGAGACAGATACCTGTCATTTGACATCAAATAAGCAGAGGATGGTGTGAGAAAACCCGTTAGATTTTGTCAAATTTAATCGAGGGATCAAAATATATTTTAATTTATCGGGAAACTATTCTTAAAATTTTGCAAAATATAATGCTGATTTAAAATTATCATCATTTTAATGCGTTATGCTATCCGATTTCACACATTTCACAGTAAAAATTAAACATAAAACTTCAGTTTTTTTAATTACAAATTTTATATATAAATTAAGAAAGAAAATAATAATCTAACAAAATAAAAAGGTGAAAAAAGAAATTTTGATAGAAAAATATTGCATCTACTGGGATTTGAGCCCAAAAGCCATATCGGAAGTCTGTCTCCTCAATGACAATGAATACTTTTCAGAAAGGAGATACTGCATTAGGCATTCCACACCTTAATTGGGAGAAACACAGATCCTCTTAAAGTCATGCTTAATTATTATAATCTCTATACTGGCCCACCACCCTCACACTGGTTCCCAGTGACTATATGTTAGGCTATGCCACTGTATTTATGAGTAGCATTAATTAATGTGGATTGTTTATACTCTAACTAGACAACGGATTCGAGCATATTCGAAACAAATATACCAGAATTTTTATAAACACCTATAATCATAACAATGCTTAACATTGATCCTCTGTATTTGACCATGTGACTTTGACTTTGCCAACAGGGACTTGCAATGTATGCATAACAAATTGCCTTTCAAAATTTAAGTAAACAGTTATGTCATGTATTATACCAATTCCTCAATTTAACAATGTATGTGCGTTTCGGACCATGGTCGACTTATTTTACTTTTTTTCTAAAAGCAAACGAAGAATTGATTCAAACAAATATATTAATACAAAATCAAAGAAAAAAGTAAATGCTTCCTTTTTTATTTTAATAGGTTTGTTTATTCACACTTTATGTTTTGTCCAAGTATGAATCTTTTCCATAAGTAAATGACAAAGTAAAGAAAATATAAGTAATAGAAAGAGCACCGAAACACGAGGCTATCTGATTTGTACGAGGGGGCGTAGCCCCCGAGTATTAATCAGATTGCCGAGTGTTTGGTGTTCTTTCTCTTCTGTATCATAGTCAAACATAAAAGCACGTTCCATGTTGTCACAATATGAAACCCCGGCAAAAATGAACCAATGAACGAACATCTGAATATGACATTTCTGTCGCTTTCCCTTTCTCTGCCGTCACAATATGTAAACCCCAGCAAAAATGAGCCAATCAATGGGCATGGTCTGGAGTGCGGGTAACTAATACCCGCACTCCAGTTAACGCACTGTGCATGTATATGTATACGATTTAACCCTGACACATTTTCAACAGAAAGGTCTCCAAACTATGATACAAGCAAAATTAACACATTATATGGTCAAGATTATGTCTAAATTATTCAATATGTTATATTCGTTTGGTCACAAGAAGTGTTGTGTCCACTTATAAATGAAATATATACTTGAATAACAAAATGATGACAAAATAATAACAAAAAAAAATCTATGATTTGACCTTGACGATGAAGGTCATTTAAAGCTCAAGGACAAGGTTAGTTAATCCATTTAGAAGGCCTTGTCCAAAATGTTGTTTCGTCCAAGTATGAAGATCATCCACTGATTAATCACTAAATTACAGCCAATTATAGCAATAATTCATGAAAATTCAGATGCCGCTTTTTCTGCAATACAAGAAGGTCTAAAATTTATGCGTCGCTTGTTTTGCTGAACAAGAAAAATAATCTAGCGGTCACTCGTCCTGCTGGGCAAAATTTAGAAGCCATTTTTCCCTCCCGCAAGTAGGACTAAAATTTAACAGTCACTTGTTCTGCAGGACAAGTGGCAATAAATTTTCTTTGATCTCTGACTTGATAGTGTTTTCTAACATGTAGTTCTGTGATTCGTGTCCAAATATTCATGATTAAAGCAGTGCATTAATAAGAAAGATTCGCAGATTTTGACCATGGCACGTGCCAGCTATATCATTTTAAGGTCAAGATCAAAATTTAAATAATTCAGCAGGTTGTGTCAGTGTTGTTATGTCCTAGTTTGAATTAAATTTGTCAATTAAAATCAATATCCTGGAAAAAATTATAGGAATTTTTAAAAAAAATCAAAATCGAGTTTGATTGTCAAGGTCATTTTGTGACATACTTATTTTATTTAATAACTATCATAGATCAAGAAATCTGTACATAAAATAGGGCGAATTGTGCACCTCTTGTGAAAGTATGAACTTGGCACAGTTGTTTGTTGATAGAATACTTTTCATTTAAGCTTTGCGACTCAAATATGGCCGCCAAAATCCAAGATGGCCGCGTTTAAATTTTTAGAATATTATAGTTTTTCAGCTGTAGTCATTACTAGAACTATTTGAAATAGCACCAATTTATCATATAACATATTTATTTATATTCAAGCCTCGAATTAAGGTTGTTTGAATTGCACATTGTCGCCAAAATCAAAGAGCCGTCATATTGAAATTTTCAAATACATTACTTATTTCATAGTTTTTCAGCTGTAGTCATTACGGAACAGTATGAAATAGCACAAATTTATTAATATTGAAGCCTCGGCAGCAGGTTGTAAGAATCAAATATGGCCATCCAAATTCAAGATGGCCGCCATATTAAAGTTTACTGTATATTTAGATTTTTTAGCAGTAGTCAATACAAAATAGTATGAAATAGCACCAATTTAATATGATATATATTTTTTCATATTTAAGCCTCGGTTTGCAGGTTGTGTTAATCCAAAATTGCCACCAACATCCAAGATGGCCTCTATATTTACAATTTTAGAGTATTATATTTTTTCAGCTAGAGTCATTACTAGATCAGTGTGAAATAGCACCAATTCATTATATTACACATGTGAAAATAAACATATCAGCAGTAAGATAATCTTTAAAAATATCAGCATGGCTGCCAAAGTTCAAAATGGCCGCCAGACCATATACATATATAATTATGAAACTGTTTAGAAACGTCCGCTTCATTATTCATTTTGAAATATGTTCAGCTCATAATTAAAACTGTCGCAGATCTTTAAAGAAAACATGTCTACATGGTTTTAGAACATGAAAAAAGAAACAAGAGCCATGTTAGCATGGCCATCCCCCGCCGAATGTGTTTGCTCATTGTAAGAATGTATATGTTGTAGAGCAGAATAATTCAATTGGTAATGAAAACTGATGGCTGAAGTAATTTCAGGTTTGAAACCTATGTGAATACTAATGGCTGAAAATACCCAAGGGCAAAAACTGAAAAATAATTCAGGGTATGTTATCATTCTTGTGTGCTGCACCCCTCCTCAATTAGATTTATCCACCTATTAGTTTCAAGTTGTTTCCTCTAACACTTTTTGAGATAAGCTCCTGACAAAAAATATGAAAAATAACAAAGGGCAACAACTCAAAAATTACAAAGGGTATAATTATCATTCTTATGCACAGCATTCCTCCTAAACAAGATCTTTCCACCTATGAAGTTTCATGTTGACATCTCAAAGACTTTTGAGTGATGCTCCACTCAAGTAAAAACTAAAAAAATATGAAGACTAGAGTAATCATTATTGTGCACTGCACACCTTCTGAGTGCGATCTATCCACCCATGAAGTTTTATTTTGATATCTCTAAGGCTTTTTGAGTTATGCTCTGGACAAAAATTAAGTTTGTACAATAACAAAGGACAATCACTGAAAAATTACGAAGGCTAGAATTATCATTCTTGTGCACTGCACTCCTTCTCAATATGATATATCCACCTATTAAGTCTCAAATTGATACCTCTAACACTTTTTGAGATAAGCTCCGGACAAAAAGGGCAATAACTAAAAAATTATAATGGGTAGAGTTATAATTCTTGCGTACAGCATTCTTCCTCAATAAGATATATCCACCTATGAAGTTTCATGTTGACATTTCAAAGACTTTTTGAGTTATGCTCAAATCAGGTGAAACATTAAGTATAAAAAACAAAGGGCAATCACTCAAAAATTATGAAGGGTAGAGTTATCATTCTTGTACACTGCACACCTCCTGCGTGAGATCTATCCACCCATGAAGTTTCATGTTGATATCTCAAAGGCTTTTTGAGATATGCTCTGGACAAAAATTAAGTTTGAAAAATAACAAAGGACAATCACTGAACTAAAAAATTATAATGGGTAGAGTTATCATTCTTGCGTACAGCATTCTTCCTCAATAAGATCTATCAACCCATGAAGTTTTATGTTGACATTTCAAAGACTTTTTGAGTTATGCTCCACTCAGGCGAAACATTAAGTATACAAAATACAAAGGGCAATCACTCAAAAATTATGATGGGTTGAGTTATCATTCCTGTACACTGCACACCTCCTGAGTGAGATCTACCCATCTATGAAGTTTCAAGTTGATTCCTCAAATACTTTTTGAGGTATGCTCCGGACAAAATGTCGGACGGAATGACGAACTGAAGGATGGACGGACGGAAGGACAGACGGACGGAGACTATTTCTATATCCCCAGCCGCCTTTCGGCGAGGGATAATAATAGAACACTCAAACCAAAAAATCAGGGTAAATGATCTCATGTTTTTATTATCTTCCCTTGAATAAGAATATGTTTGCCAGTTTTAGTGAATTTCAAGTGCAAGTAACTTGCAATTAAACTAAGAAGTGCCTAAGTCTAATAATTTAATCTTTAACTGACCTCCTATACGGTCATTGTGCAAAAGTTCAAGGAATGTATAGATTCGTTTGTTTATTCTTACCAACAGCTATGCAATTTACCCTTAAATAATAATTCATAGACGGCCGGGCTATTCAATCTTGTATTCTGATAAGAAAAAAAGGAAAACTTATCTCAAAACTATACTTTAAAACAAGCATTTGATAGTATTGCGGGCAATACAGTAGTCCCCTACCGGTCCCTCAAAAAGTTCTTTAATTGTCATACACTCCTGTGTATTGCCATTTATAATGAATTTGAGGATGAAGTCTGTATTTGAAAATATCGACCACAAAACATAATAAAATAAGTTTGTCTATATCACAGTAATGTGTTAAGTTTCCATGCTTAGTAAGGAAATTATGTTTATACAACCTTGTCATATTATTACGATGTGGGATTTTAAAGTAAATCCTATAAGGAATGAAGAAGTTGGAGTGAAAATACCAGTTTCTCGAAAAAAATCTAAGTTCAAGGGGGACATAATTCTGGAAATAGTCTTGCTAGAGTATTTAACCTTCTCAAAAATGTCGAGTGTTAATAAGAAACATATATATGAAGTTTGAAGTAGATACATTAGGAAATAAAGAAGTTATTAAAAAAAGACAACATTTTTTCCCCTAAAAAATCTAAGTTCAAGGGAGGTAATACTGATATATTTTGTGCTAGAGTTATAAACCTTGTCACATATGACGTGGTTGATGACAAGAAACTTATATTTAAAGTTTGAAGTAAACACCTTAAGAAATAAAGAACATATAGTGAAAAAGCTGAAAAATTTAAATCAGAAATCTTGAAATTCAGGCTATTTGTTGCCATAGCAACCAGAATTTTCAACATAAGAAGAAAAGAAAAAGATGTGCATAATCTCCAGACTGCCATCTACCCATATTTCAAGTTTCATAAAAATATTTTCAGTACTTTTTGAGTTATCACTGGATCCAGTTTATGTGTTAAATTTGCCATATTTTCAGACTATTTGTTGCCATAGCAACCAGACTTTTCAACATAGGAAGAAAAAAAAGACGTGCATAATCTCCATACTGCCATCTATCCATATATCAAGTTTCATAAAAATATTTTCAGTACTTTTTGCGTTATCACTGGATCCAGTTTATGTGTTAAATTTGCCATATTTTCAGACTATTTGTTGCCATAGCAACCAGAATTTTCAACATAGGAAGAAAAAAAAAAGACGTGCATAATCTCCATACTGCCATCTATCCATATATCAAGTTTCATAAAAATATTTTCAGTACTTTTTGCGTTATCGCGGGATCCAGTTTTGTGGACGGACGGACTGACGGACTAATAACTTGTTTATGTACTAAGCCAAAAACGACCAGTTCTTAGATAAAAATCTGGAAATTTAGATATTTTAAGAAAACGTAAGAATTATTGATATTCTAACATGTACACCAAGTCATTCTTATACAGAATTAAGCAAATTACTGTTGTATAGTGTTATCAACTAAAACTGATCAGTTAGAAAAAAACAGTAAAATTAAGTCATTGTCTATAATAATCACCACCTATTGTTCTAGAATTGAATGATTATCCAGTTAAGGCCAATAAAGTTTTATTTATAGTATGATTCTATTTTACAGAAACTTTAAATACGAAAGAAAAAATCAACAAATGAAAAACTACATTGCCTTTAACACCCGGGTGACCCCAGTCATTTAGCAAACGTAGACGTGATTTCACTAGTTCTTACATTCTGTCAATTTATATATAACAGATGCAGACAGAATAAAACAAACCAAAATCATAGAATCTAAGTAAAACAACAACGGTAATTGGATTTAAAATTTGATCAAGTTTTCTAAACGTTTTTGGAATCTGATTTTCTAATTTATTTTCCAAGACCTTATAAGAAAGAATAATGGCACAATAAGAGTCTGAATCCGTTGTCTATGACACTAGTATACTGCTTAAATTACCTATGAAAAAAGAACTGCCATCAAAATTGTCACAAGGATGATACATACTAAATTTATAATTAATTTAAAGAAATTAAGAAGACCGGATTCCTCAAGAACCCCTAACCTCCTCCCAAACTTATTATTCATCCTAAACATTTGGTTCTGATAAGCTAAGAAATCGTGTGCACTTTAATATACAATACAATAGAGGATAAATGCACCTTTTTCGTGCATTCACATCTGCCAAGGTGCACAATTGTTTCACTGATTTCTTGGACGGTAAGATTATGTTGTCAAAATATAAATCGTGTCTGCCTATTTATTCAAAAGTTAAGAACATTGATACTTATTTCAATATTTTAACTTTAAATTTAATAATTAATTATGATTGATACTTAATATTTTCAATTGCATTTTACCTGCGTACAACAAAGTTTGTGTAAGGTGATCTATATGACAGAAGATGACAACTATAAAAAGTAAGTACCTTGTCAAAAATGTTTCCATTCTTACTAAGATCATCTGTAACTTTTGTCTGAAAACATTCGCAGTTGATGATGACACTGTTAACTCCATTAAAATCTGTTTCTGATGCAGATAGAACATCTTTATACCCATCTGGGGGCATGAAGCACTTAGCGACCTCCCAGGATTTACTGCACCACTGAGTAGCATCAGTGTTTTTGTAGGATGGGGGATTGATCTTCTTGAATCTATGTGCGTTATGTATTTCAGTTTTAAAATTGTTACAGATATTCTTCTTACAACCAGCAGAAAAAAACGAGTTGCAGAATTTTTATGATAACTGCACTTTCTATGCTTCACGTTACATATTTTGATTGTAGGACACTCGACTACGTTTTCTGTGCAACAATTTGTACAAATTGTTCCAGGTGGAAGACCCTGATTGTTACATATATCTGTTAAACATTTCTGCTGGAACTGTTCAATTTCTTCTTCAACAAAAGGTGCGATACCTTCTTTAGTAATCAAGACTGCTAAACTAGCCTTTACCCAGTTATTATATCTCGAGTCAGACACTTTTTTTGACAAAGACACTGAAGCCATGCCTATGAATTGTTTAATTAACTAGTTAATCTAATCCATATCACAACTTTATATTAATGTCAGTTATTATAAATGACAGACTTATAGATAAAGACACTGGAATTCTTTTTTTTTTTCAAGGATTAAGGTGCATAAAATAATATCCATAGTCTCTTTACAGTCATTCATCACCATATCGATTTGTTCTTTTCTTTCATTGTACACTAATAACCTACAATTAGAAATGAGTTATATTTCTTTTATAATGTAAGAAACACAACAAAATTCTGAAATAAAAAGGTATAAAAAAGATAGTGCAGTAGACAGAGCGTCCGTGTCATTGAATACCTTTTTATGTTCACATCGTGGTAAGTTATTAACACACTTGATTGTTTTATGTCTCGTTTTTTTACCAATTTTTGTTTTGAATACTTACAAATGCATTAGATTAAATACTTTTGTTCATGGGATGATATGCGCTTGTGTAAAATTTAAGGAAAGTGTCAAACATCAAGAGAAATGGATAAGAAACATAGATTTATGTCATTATTAGATATGGATAAAATATAATGAAATAAAATGTGTTGTATATTGATCCATATATTCAAACTATCAAAATTTTGTAATCGTAGTTTGTTTGATTTTTAAAATATTATATGAAACAGAATATAAAACACAAATTAATCACTTGACATGTACAGTCAACTATCGTTATCTCGACATCGCTTTTCTCGATATTTCGTTATCTCGATGAAATTTTGAAAGTCCCGACTCGACTGCCCGACATGACGCAGCCAGCTATATTTATAACATTTCCAGCCAATCAGATTTACTTCATCAATGAATACGTATAATCAATGAATACGCATAATCAAAAAGTTCGTACAAGAGTTACATATTCTTTATAAAAATAAACCTTAATTTATAAAAAGTATAAATGCAATAATTAATCTGAGGTACTGTTTATTAATAAGACTACTTTCTAGTAAATAAAATATTTAGCTTTCGTATTCCTCGTATCAATGCGCTAAGAAGTTCTGCCTTGTAAATGCGAAAGTTTGACAGGTTAACAAATATTGTTCAAATATTCATCAAGCAATTTCCTTTCATTGTAAAACTGGGCCCAAAAGTTATGTAATAAGGTATTTATACTTTTTCATCAAATTCTCGCTCCTGTTAGAACTATGTAATTACGTTGTGCACAAAACCAAGCTGAATTTAACTTGTTTGACCTTCAATGGCGTATTGCTAACAAGTTTTGACAGTCCTATTTTTCAAATAATATCTGCCTTTCTGTAGCCAGTTACGTACTCAGAGTCATCCATAATAAATCCAGTTTGATAAATAACATTAGTTTTTGGTATTAAATAACGCCTTAAGGTTAATTTTATGTTCAAACTTCCGCTGATAGTGATAAATCCGCATTCAGATATAGTCCGGCTACAGTGAAAATTATATTTTATAAATTTCACTAGTGGTTTATCAGAATATAATCATCTGATATATTACAATAAAACACTGGAAAGCATGAAATAAATAATAATAAGTTCTACTTTTCCTACATGTAAACCAGTGAGATCAATTTCAGGAACGGTATATTACTAATTTTATTAAAAGATCCATGTGGTGAATGAGGGCATATCTATCTCATTTAATATAATGAGAATTGTGTTTATTTTGCTTGTGAGCCGGTGGTTTCGAGTTCGAATCCCGTGGGCGAGATATACTTCATATATATGCAAAAGCTTATTTTTGTTAAGAGCTTGAAATTTTCGTCAAGGTTAGTATATAAATTAACTATATTTTTTCATTATATACAAATTTACACCCATAACAAATGACAATCAATCCCCTTTATCAGCCAATTGTTTAACTGATATCAAGTAGTTTTGAATTAGACGAATTAGTCCCTGTCATTGTATTTTTTAGACCAAAGACTTGAATATATCAAATACAGTCGACTCTCGTTATCTCGAAGTCATTGGGACCGTCCAAAAAATATCGAGATAACGAAATGTCGAGATAAACATATTAGGGTTAGAAGAAGGCGAAACTGATTTTTACATAAGACATGTGCATACCTTATGTCAAATAAACTATAGTATCCCAATGTCTTGTTTTCATAGGCCTAGTCAATATTTAACAAAGTAACATAAGCGGATGTTTACCAGCGGAAATACGGGTGTCTGTGTTAAAAACACATAGTGAGGTTTACTCAATAATACACCAATATAGTGAATAGGATATCGGATATGGTTGACCCGGATATCTTCCCGGGTTATTTATCGGGTCTTTCTCGAGATTGTTCCAACGCTGATTGATTTGGTGGTGATGTTGTGAAACAATATTGCAACGATAGCGTTTCTATACTTGAACTATTTCATTTACATTTAAAGTCATAATGAATTGATACAGTTTTCGAATATTTAAAAAGAATGTAAAATTCACTCATTTTGGACATAACTCAATCAACACGCTAAATAGATTAACTTTTATAAAAAACAGCTAAACTTGTTACAAACATAATCGTCATTATGACGCGCGCTATTAATTGGGCAATTATTGTCTAGATTGCGTTTTTCACACGTCTGAAAGGACAGACGAAGTCGAGATAAACAAAGGATAATAGTGTGAAAATAACTGTTGGGGCTGAAATTTTACATCGAGATACTGAAAATATCGAAATAAAAATATCGAGATAAACAAATATTTCCAATATAGATAAAGAAGGAAGAAAATCGGGACTTTCAAAATTTCATCGAGATAACGAAATATCGAGAAAAGCGATGTCGAGATAACGATAGTTGACTGTATTTATTTTCAAACTTGCGTGGACATTTTGCGTTATTATTTTACATACTAACGTGAATATAAAGTAACAATAGGCGATTCAGACTAGGAACATAAGTTTAATATGGGACAAGGAGACGTTGGGAATGTAGGTGACTCACCTAGACAAGATCTTTACAGAGATGATGATCATGTTGGACGTATTCAACAGGATCCCAAGTACTGTTGTCGAAATACAAGGTCGGCAATAACAATTAAACCGGACAAATATAGTGGGGAAGATGACTGGGAACAGTACATATCGCATTTCCAAGACTGTGCAAAATAAGGAAAATGGAATAATCAGAAGTCAAGCTAGAAAATTTTATACTACCTTTACTAGACAAGATAAAGCTTCTTTCAGGGATCTTGCACGTGCACTTGAACAACGTTTTAGAAGTGCCAGGCAGCAGACCAGATGGATATCCAAGTTTCAAACCCGTTAAAAACTGGGAGAGTCCATGGCAGCTTTTCTATATGATTTAAGGTAACTCGCTAGGAAGGCGTACTGCAACCTCGAGCAAGAAGCACAAGAGACCCTTGCATTGCAGCAATTCTGTAAAGCACTCTCTGTAGAGATGAAATGCAGGGTCATGGACAAATATTGCAGAACAATCATAGAGGCAGTTGAAGTCGTTGAACGCTATGAGGACCTGCTGAATGAGTCGCATTATGAGAGAAGAAATTTTGTTGGACAAATAGACAGCATTGAAGTCGAGTGTGAAGTTACAAGAAGAGATTATTATGGAAAGTGTATGGTCAGATGGTAAGATTGGAATAATGAAAGATTAGATGACGGAATACAACGGGCGTTGAGATCAATCCAGATACGACTAGATCGTATAGACAGAGGTTCACAAAGAAGAGAAAGAGATGGTCCAAGAAATCATTATATATGCCAGGGACTTGATCACCTTGCCCGGGCATGTCCAAATAGGTATATTGCTGGTTATGGCAGAGATTCCACCCTGTAGGTCGGGGGCAGTCGTATGAAGTAAGTCTGGATTCATGCTGGTCGCAAACCATTATGTTGGTTTTGTCATGACGCGGCTCATAACATTAATAGGTAAAGTGTTAATCAAGTGGGCAGAAAATGCTGGTGTGGATAATGGTTTATTTATTTTTCACGGCGTCCTGTGAACGTTGCCTATGCCTTGTTGATCTTTGTTCTTGTTATTTTATATGTGAAGGGTTATATCAATGAGACGGCTGTAAATTTTTACTAGATAGTGATAGCACAGCTACATTTATTTCCAAAAACACCTTTGATAAGTTGGGTATTGAGTCACTCTCTGTCAGAAATATAAGTATACGAGGTGCAGATGGTTCAAATATCAAAATTTATGGTAAAGAAACTTTGCTATGGGCAACCAAAAAATAATCATCCAGTTATTGTCTGCAACATTACAGCAGATGAAATCATAGGTCAAAATTTCATATTGAACCACGCAGAGCAATTAGATTTCGATAACCTAGAGCTAGTATTGAGAACCGGTGAACGTGTGCAGTGTAATACATGCCATGCTTATCGCTTGTTTAGGATAACAACTAGAGAGAGAGAGAAAAATTCCTATTAATCCTACGTTTTGTAAGTGTTGTTATTCCTGTTATTCCTCCAACAAACGCATCTTTTCAAGTGATCGAAGGGTTTGTAGAACCACATAGGTCAAAGGCTGGGGGTTGGTGTCATTAACAAGGGTGGGAAAAGTATCTATCACAAGCCAGGGGTAAAATTTGCATATTGCAAGTCATCATATGAAGAGGTTGGTGATGCACAATACTACGCGAAAGTTTTAATGTCGAATACAAAAGACGATGAATATCATAAGCATTTTAGTGCGAGCTGTGCTGAGACAAATGCAAATGGTTTGGAGGCCCCCAGTGTTCATTCAGAAGCACAGTGTGTTGCGAAAGTTAGTAAAGTCAATGCAGAAGTCCGTCCTTGGTAATAGCGCGTCAGTTTAAGATACCCGTAGTCATGATGGGAAGTACTAAAGTGTTGTTAAAATGAAAACAATGGAGGATTGTCTGCGACTTTCCAAACGCTCATGGAAAATGTTTTAAGGGGATTGCAGTGAGTCCAGTCACTTTTCTATATAGACGATAAACACCAGATAAAACAGTTGATGAGCCCTTGCAAGGCTTAAGAATGTCTTTGTGCGCTTACAAGAATACAACCTGAAGTTGAAGGCCTCTAGGTGCATTTTCTTCCACAAGTTCATCACATTCTTGGGTCACGTACTGTCTGAAGAGTGCATCAGTACTGATAACAGTAAAATTTCCTCTATCGAAACTTGACCGATTCCTC